CTATATTGAATGCCCATTCGTATTCTAGGTGATACATCTTCCTTCTATAAAAGTCCTCGTCTAAATTTTCTTATTAGTGAATGGTTTAATGTCCAAATAATTCATAATGATCATTAACACAAAACAGGGAAATTACAACTTTTTTGCTTATTAAATCATTCATTTAAAACAAAGAATTTACTGACTACTCTACCAACTTCAAACGTTCTGAAGATGAAAACAAAGAAATCTTTTTTTCTTCGTTTATCTGATATTTACACCAACACATTTTGTACTAGTATTTCATGGTTGTAGAACAGGTTTTGGTTGGTTTTGTAAAAATTACATATGAATCTAATCTTTCGAAATGTATCATATCCCAAAAATTAAAAAGTACTTTTCCTTCCGAATTTGCCACTTTTAATGCTTCCTCAAAAATTCTAAAGTATCTTTAAGCTAATCTTTCTTGTTTGAATAATTTTATTAATTTAGTAGTCACCTTATCAGCCTATACAAAGAATCTAGAATATTCTTAAATCACTTCAAAAACCTTCTCTTGTATCTTTTTGACTTCTTGTTAATGGAACCAATTTTATTTATCCTTGATATTTTGCTTTGTTAATTTCTTCACTTAATCATTTTTATTGTTTCTGATTATGTATAATTCATAAGGTGTTAACTATTTGTTTATCAAAGCTGCTATATCACTGTTGATTACATTCTTAACTCTAATGCTTCTCAATTCCTTTTCAAGATGGACAAGATATTAATAATATGCGAACCATTGGAGATCAGTAGGCTGCTCATCATCATCCTAGATATCCAACTTCCCATATTAAAATAATTGATTGCTTATTCTACTCTAATTTACTTCTCTGGCAACTCTTTTGAAATTTATATCTTCTATCAGGTTTATAATCTTGGGTCTTAAATAGAGAAACATATCTGTCAAATCATCATAATCATCTGGCTTCCATAATCTATTGTTCAATCTTAAAGGTCGAAAGCTTGTATCAACTGGTTCTAAAGAGAATAGATCAGAGAAACAAAAGTTTAATTTTTTTTTCATTTTCTGTTTTTCAGCCATTGTCTTGAGATTGTCTTCCGTTGCGTACAATTTGCAAAATATATATTTCCCATCTTCTGAAATTGAATTGTATACATTATATCCAGTTAATAATAATTAGACAATAATGATATTTCTCATTAAAGTAAGAAAGTCTGCAGTATCCTATTAATTTCGAGACCAAGTTCCATTAGCGAATGTTAGGAATCCTCCATTTTTCATTTTTCTTGGTGAGATCCTCTTCAATATATTATAGTCGACATCTAAAATTTCATTTAATTTTTATCTAATATTAGCTTATTAGTCAGTTTTATTATTTAATAATTCTTTAAAATTTGAAATTAACTTATTGAGCATGTCAATTTTAGGCTGCGAATGATTTTGAGTATCAGTTTATTTTTTCTACATTGTCTCATAGATAGGTTCATTATTTTCACTTATTTATTAATGAATGTTGTCCAATAAATATAAATCTTAATGAGTTGCTTTTAATTAAGAATTTTAGGTGAATGCGAATCTGACCCTTGAAATTTTATTCGGTTCAAGATTTGTCAATACTCCTTCGACAGCTTTAAAAAAAATTTTATTTTCAATATTATTTCTATCTAATTTCAAAACTCTCTCAATATAGAGCATAGATTCTAATGCTGTCATTGTATCATATGATTCACAATGTTTAAAATCAGGGTTTGGAAATCTAAAATATAATCTGAAAATCAAAACCTCAAAATAGCGTCTGGCAACATCTAATCATTAAAACTATCAACATTATCGCTCCATTTCTAACTTAATTTCATTTCATCCTTATGGGATAATTATCTACCAAGAAGCATTTAGACATATATTTCATATTTCTGAAGAAATTTTGCAATAACTCTGAATTCCTTAACCTACTTATTGTCAATAGTTTTATCCCTTTCCCTTTTAGATCGAACAAAATTTTCAAAATTATTGATGCTTTACACCTTACTTTGATGAGAAAGTATTTCACTTGAAGGCGACAAAGAAAAATAACTCATATATTTAATTCACAATTTTAAATATAAAATGGTGGATTATTCGACTCCTTTATTTTAAACGATAATTTGATTTACGATAACAAGATATAAATTATTCTTCAAATTCTCGTTTTGTTATTTGAATTCCTTAGTCACAAATTTAATAATTGTTTTATGAGTTACTTTTTATTTAATAATAACTATTTTATTACGATTTTACTTAGAGTATAAAACAAAATAATCAAAATCATGACTCCATGTTACTGATTTAAAATTTAACATTTCTAGATATATTATCTATGTTTTCCCTTAATACATTTAATAAATATTCCTTCTCATTAATTGTGATATTTGCATTCTCTATTTCATCAGCCATCAAATCCAGATCCTCTAACATTCTATCTATTCTCCTCATAAACAAATTCAATTTAGAAATAATGATCTCCTTGTCATCATCAAATTCATCGTTTCTTGCAGACTTACTAATTTCCTCCTACTCCTTTTGAATCTAATCCAGAATTTCGTCTTTGATTTTTTCATCTTAATTATTCTCCCTTTTTCTTTGCGCATTAATTTCATCGTATCCTTCCATAATAATTGCAATCAATACACTTTATACTGCTGTAAAAAACACTATCATAAAAACAATAAGGTAAATTTAACCAATAATTCCAATTGGTTTTACCAAATTAAACGATTCTAAATGGATATTACATTATTATACCTAATAAAATATCTCCATTTGACAATGAAAACAATGATAAAATCGTGTCAATAGTCGATTAGAAATAGTTGTATTTCCAAAATATAGCCTAAGCCAAATACACAAATCCAAAAAAGAATGGTAAAATACTGAATATGAACATGGCAATATTCTTGCTTGATTTCTTCAATGTCCAAGTCACAAGACTTATGTCCTAAAAGTATTCCAAATATTGTAACAGCATTAACCAAGAGGAAAAGCATCCAAATCCCATCATCGTAATTTAGAACTTATAAATCGATAAGTCATTCGTCAAAATTTAATCCATTATCGCTATTGTTGCTCCAACCACTTAGAAGAATCCTCCCAAGGCATTTAAGATATACCAATTATTGAAGGCCTTAACATCTTGCTAATAATCAACATTTCTCCAAGCCTGTGAAAACTTCACTCCAACTTAGGGTCCCTATTAAATTACATCCGATTAATCATTTAAAGGTTGAGTTTCCACAATATTTTTTATGTCCTTATACATTTATTTATTATACATATATTCAGAACCTATATCATATAAATACTTTATCGTTGTGTAAATCGAAATACCTCCCAAGATAAGGACAATAAAATGAATAAGCAAAAAATCTTAGCCACTTTATTTTTTCTGATCTTCAGGACAATTGCTGTTCCCTGTTTCTATCTTAGCATTAATCACTCCTATTTTATCGAAATTATATGTAATTTTGAAATTCCAATTTGTACAAGATTCAACTCCTTCAATATCTCTGAAATTTATAAAGTTATAAATCTTATTCCCTTGAAATTCCATAAGTTAAACATTTCCGATAAAATCTTTAATAGAATGTACATCATCAATATCAAATGGTTCTGTAAAACCTTCATCGATATCTACATCGAATACTGTTTTGTTAGCATTGTCAGTATCGAATTAAGAATAGAAAATATTAAATTTAAACTCTGACAAACTCATGTTTACATTTTAAAATAAAATATCTTCCAAACCATTAAGATTGTCCATCATTGTAAGCAACTACTATTGAAAATCATCGAAGTTATAAAATTATTATTCATCATTATCCTCATTTAATCCAAGGAGAATGTTCTTAAAAATCATATGCTGAGCTCTACTTTAAGCAGTCAATTAATCCAACACATTGAGAACTTAAACAGTCGTAAAAACTATCAATAAAGTGTGTAAAATCATTTGCCAAGGGAATTGGTTGTACAATTCGTACTTTTGCAATGGTGACAAGGTTAGCTTTTGCTAATAATCCATATTAAATGATTTTTGTTCGCTCGTACTCATATTAATTTATAATTAATATAGAATTAACAAATAATCACATTTATATATATCTATTTAAGAATTTCCTATGAAAATCACTTCTAACAGCGTCATTAATAAATCTCTATTTTTCCTTTACTTCCAGTCTCGATTGATTTTTGAAGATAGTATCTTCATACCATCTAAAAACGATGATTTATGAAAACATACTTTTTCTTTAGAGAATAATCCTCACTAATCAACAAAGGGTTTCCTTTAATAATCTCGTCTTCTCTATTCTTTTCCAAGTACTCTTGCTTCTCTAAAATCTATTGATATAACTCTGAAATACTTTTTTTTTTTCTTCAATTTCCCTTTGCTCTTTAATTTTTTGATACTCCCTCATTAATAATTCATCGTCATCTTCATCATCACTTGAGGATGATGATGAATTTTCTTCAATTTTCAATTCTTATTATTGCACAATAGGCTTTTCAGGTTTTTGGGCATTTTCTCCTTCATCATCTGAAGATTTAATAAATTCTTTATCATCAGCATCCTATGGATAGATTTCCTTTTCTTCCACCTTAGTTTTTTTCAATATTTGGGGTTCTTAAACATCTTTATTTTAATCTAATTAATAATTTAAAAAAGTTTCTACTTTTTTATGTTGCTTCTATAGCTAATGAAGTTTCAGAGACTCCCAAAGCCTTTAATTCTCTTTATCTTTTTCCTTCTTCCTCTCTTTTTAATAAATCCATCTTAAAATCCTTTTATTCCAATTCTGCCTATGTACCCTATCCAGGTTTCCTCATTTTCAATATCAAATAAGCTGGCAAATCTTTTGAATGATAGGATCTTGAATGAACAAGCATTTTGTTTCCACCCTATTCACTACCACCTATAGCAGGCCTGTATGTTGGTCGATGTGCTGTTGTCATAAAAAATATAATTAAAATAATAAACAATAATTCATCTTCTTTTTCTTTTGACAATTTTTTTCATGCTTCCTTTGAGTTTCTACCCTTGTGGTTTCTTTATTTTCTTTGTTCCTTTATTAAGCACTTTATTTATGGTCTCAAATTCTTAGAAGTCGTCCAGCCTTGTCACATTGGCCTTTCTTTCAGCTATTCTTTCCTTTCTTTTCTCATCCCTTGTAGTAGGCAGCCTTGTCATATGATCTTCTTCATATTTCCTTTTTTCTATTTGTTTTTCATCTTCAGCCCTTCCATAATACAATTATTATAAGTCTCTCTCTGTCATTTCCTTTGGTTTATCAGTCTAATTAAATTATAGCATATATTGATACTTCTTAATCATCCAGTATACTCTTAATTAATTTAGCTTTTTGTTATGTTTTTCTAAGCTCCTCCCTTCTCTCTTATTTTTATTTATTTAAATCACTTTTTGAAAGTGTTGCTGCTAGTTTTGGTGGCACATACTTTTAATTTGGATTATTGATTTTATCATTAGCTTCGTCTTTATGAAGATTCTCTATCCTAGGCTTGAGGGTTAATTTCTCCACTTAATCAACAATTTAATCGTCTTCATTGATCTAAGTTTCTTAATATTTTGATAATTTGTCAATGGAATATTATAATTTTTTTTAAGCTTAAATAATTTTCTGCAATAAAATTTTATCTTCTATTAACTAATCAACAGGAAACTCATCCAAATTTCCATAATTGAGTTTATGTAATAAGTACATATTGAGATGAATCAGATATTTAGCCATTGTTGCATTTTTTGCTCTTAAATATTAGGCAATATTATTTTTATTTTCTGTTGTGCAAGTGATAACATGCAGATTATCAATAGATTGCAATTGATCATTAATGGTGGATATCAAATCAGAATAGACTGGAAAATCTTCATTAAAGTAGGTTAAACCACCACTCATTATATAAATTAATTTATGATAACGAAATAAAAAAAATATAAAACTATATACTAATATCATTCCAAATTAAATTGCACCTTTCTAAAAGCGCTTTCAGCCTGATTTTACTGATTTCTAAATCTACTATACTTCATCTCTTATTTTAAAATGCTTTTACTAGACTTTTCATCTAGTTGTCCACCTCTTATACTATCTTGCATAAATGAATCTTCATCTCTTGGAGAAGAGATATTTTTTAGATTTAGTTATTGTTCAGTAACAGATTGCAGTTTTTTGAGCCTACCAGAATCAAAAGATTTTAAAGAGTTTTTAGCTTCGAATGCAACAATAGGAGAATCATTTTATCTTCTTCTCCCTAAGGTGCAAGATGATTTAAAAATTTGCTCATCCTTTTCAACTTGCCCTATGAATTAAATTTCCTTCAAGGATTAGCATTGTTCCGATTTTTTACTCTATTGGGACCTTAGTTCTGGAAAAGCAGGAGTACCACAATCTTCTGTTTTTTTCTAACTATGTTTTACTTACTAAACTCTATAAAGAAATTAATAAAATTTTCATACTCTTATAATTTTACAGTCTATTTATTTGAATCTTCACGAATAACTATCTCTTAGACATCCTCATCCTCGACAATTTTGCTACAACATTATGCATTCCCCATATTATAAAATAATTATGTAATATAAAATGATGTAAATTATCAATCATCATCAAATAATCGATTTCCACCCCTTCCTCTATTATCTCCCCTTCCACGAGGTCCCCCTCTTCTATTGCCTCTGTCTCCTCCTCTTTTGCCTTTCCTATCATCCTGGGATCTGTCTCTAATCTGTTGGCCATCAACCTTCTTTCTAAATTACTAATTATTTTGTTATTCTTTTCTAATAAATCCAAATCAGGAATTACTTCTCTTTATCCTTAACAGCATTAACTAATTTAAGCTTTTCCTCCTCAAACTCTCTCGACATAGCCTTAGGATTGGGATCCTCATAAGCCCATTTGCACATTATACACTCTTATTAATCCAGGGCTTGTGAATCCATGGCTTCTTTAGCGAATTCAGCCTAGCATCTATGTTTATATCTACATTAATAGTATGTCTATTAAAATACCTTATAAATGAGACACCCTTGGCAGGTATAACATTTAAATCATCGATATCCCCCAATGGACTGAAATGTCTCCATAATGTATCATACATTAAGGCTAATGCTTGAGTACTAGTATCAGCCTTAGGCATTTTATAATGAGTAATATAGATGGCTCTGGTGTCACTTGTGAAACAACCTATACTATAATAAGTCATAGATGATCAATTATTACCCTTTCATATCCTCTCTATGATTGGCAAATCTAGTTCTACCAAAGACATCCTTACTGTTATCGATTTATTCACACTCATCCATAGTTGGAATTCTGTGATAATATCTACAATTAACTCCTTCTGCACAACAACCCCGAGCAAAGAACAAGCAAAAGTAAGTACTAAACTTCTCATATAAGTCTGCCTTAGTATAACCACTATCAATATCTGGATGCATTCTGGTCAATGCAGGATCTTTCTCTTTGTATTTGTTTCCATCACTTAAAAATCTATCAAACCATGTGTTGTATTCCTCATCTCCTTATTTATAACCGAATTTTGTCGCCAATGATTCTTCAACTTGCTTTCTCGCTGGTCTTAACATTACTTTCTGTCTTTTCTAAAATAACTGCTCTCTTTATCTTGCGATGTATTATTTAGGCAAAAATTTAAAAAAATTCCTCTCCTAATAGTCATACAATCTATGCTCGAATTATCTTCTGTAATCAGACAATTTCTATACTATATCCAATGGCAACTCCCAAACACTTTCCTTTGTTACAGGATTATAATAATAATTCTTTTTCCATGTGTCGTCAAACAACACTTACCATGGATATATGATTTTTTGAATCTCATCTGCATTTACAAGTTATCCTCCTTTATTAATTTGTAATTCTATTGGTTATTTCTGTAAATTTTGAAGTTCTTCATCCTTTTTCTAATTTAATTTTTCTTCAATCTACTTTTCTAATTCCTTTTAATTTTGATCTGCTTCTTATACTTTTTATTAGTACAATTGATAAGCCTCGATCTTCTTTCTATTTTCTTCCTCCTATTGAATTTCTTTTGAATTAGGTGCTAAATGCGCTATTTATTGAATTTTTTGAAAATCAATTCCTATTGGTCTAAAAGGATTTTTCTCTGGTTTTGCTATATCAAATTTCAAATTATCTGAATCTGATTCATACTGATCTCCTTCTGAATATGAATATTAATCAACATTTTCTTCCTCTTCTTATTAATATATTTTTTATTAATCCTCTTAATCAGCCATTAATTTATAATATAATTTTATTATTTCGTATCATATTCTTCAAATTTAAAGATTCATATAATTAAACACTCCATTTACATGAATTATAATACAATACTCCTATGCAAAAAATAAAAATTTATTTAAATGTATTTTTACTTTTCAGAGATATCATATAATAATCCTGTTATTCATTGTATACTGATATTATCATCTTAATTATAATAATAGAACTATTAGAATTCAAATTATTAAAAATAAGGTATACTAATTAAATCTATTTATTTCTTACTCAAAATTTAGTTCAACTCTCTCAGTGAAATCTTTCCAACTTTACAATTTCATTAATTTAAAACACAATATCATGATATAACTTCCAAAAACCCCTTAATACTCTTCTACTACTTTGAAGAATTAAGAAAGTAATTCAAAGCAAAACATTTAATCACTAAAGGTTGAAAAATCAAGAAATTTCTTAATCGATGAACCTTAAGAGATGTCAATCACTTTGATTAAGGAAAAACCTTGCTACAATGAATTAGCTGTTTTCGATACCTCTATAAGATAAAAGATTTCTCCAAATGAAACTAAAATCCTATTGAACAATGATCAATCAAATTTAAATGTTAATCACACTGAAGATGCATTATAAAATGCTTAATTTTAAGGATGCTGCTTTTGTAAAGAAAATGAAAATTTAATCCCTATATGTAGATGTTCTTAAGCACACTTTAAATGTGCAAATAACTTTTTAAAACAAGGCCCTATTTTAGAATAATTAAAATGTCAAAAATGTCATGATTTTAGACAAGTGAACAGTTAGGTATATTTTGATTTTAGCCTTTGGCAATAAAACAAATGGCATCTATTATTTGAGACCATGTTTCTATTGATTATCTTAATGATAATTGGAATTTTAAGCTACTTTACTACCCACTTACTAGAAGAGTCATTTGAGAATGAGAGAATATTAATTTCCTGTTTAGTTTTTTCATATACTGTTTGTTTCATAGTACTAATTTGTATGATTTCTAAGATCATAAGCCATTTCAAGAAAATAAGCTTTACTATAAAATCATACGATCCTTTATACTAGAAGATTAATCAAAACTATATAAAGTTAATGCAAGAACTATGACTTGAATATATATATATATTATTATTAAAAATTATAAATTATAGATACAATATTAACTATTTGTAATATAGGTTTTTGAAATACATCTTATAGTAGGTTATCATTTTTAGTTAGAATTTTAATTAATATTTTTAATGCAAAAATATTTTTTTATTCTAGTTATTTTTGCCACGTGCAGCAATGCTCTCACATTTTATCTCACAGAAGGAAAACAAAGATGCTTTTTAGATGAATATACTGCAAATACAGTTGTTATTGGCGCTCATTAATTACTGGATAAAGTCTAACCTAATGGAGGGGGAGTTGAATTGAGTGTTCTTGATCCAGATAATTAAGTGATTTTAACAAAAATGACTAATAGTGATGAAGGAAAGTTTACATTTACAACAAAAAAATAAGGAAGATACTAAGTTTGTTTGAAAATGTCAAATAGCAAGGGATGGTTTGGAGATAAGAAATAACCATTATATTTCTTAAGAATTAAGCAAGGAGAAAATCAAGAATTTTAATCTGCTGCAAAGGAGAGTCAAGTATTTATTAGAGTATTACTTTAAGATTACAGGATTAAAGCAAAAAATTAAGTCACTCTAAAAATAAGAGGATGATTTTATTAAACTATAATTAATGAACAGAGAAAACGAGGATAAGCTAAGTATAGAGAACATTAAAATTAATGATAATGTGTTCAATGCCACCTTAATTCAAATAGTTGTCATTATTGGTGCAGGAGTATTTCAAATTTACTCTTTAAGGAAATTTTTTGCATAAAAAATATATTATTGATTGTATTTATAAATTATTCAATACATTTTAAGTACTTAATTTCCATATGTACCCAACGAACTTCTTTAATTTAAGTATGGGTTCTAGTTGTATCCTGGAATTGGATTTAAGAGAGTATTGTGCACTGAAGGATCAATTTAATTGTTTTCAATGCTTCTAAACTAATTTTGTTATATTTTTAAATATACCCCATTGCTCATAACTTATGAACCATTTTGATTTTTAGTACTTTACTCCTTTTCAAAGATTTATTTTTACAATGAATCTCTCATCATTTATTTATTATATAGTTAACTTTATTTTTTTTATTGGGCTTCCATCTCTTCTTTATATTATACATTTTCAATTCCTCTATTAATCATATTTTCAATTTAGTATTATTTATCACTACCAATCTTTTCTGCAAAGTTTTTTTACATTCTATCCTATTACTCTGCTACTTGTCTATAATACTAATATTTAAAAAATTTAAATACATCTCTGTATTATTTTTGCTTCTCTGTTATTCTAAATTCTTCATCTCTTTAATTTAGCTATTCCTTAATTTTTTCTTGTTCCTGCTATTCTTTTTATTGCATAATTTTTCTCATTTTATCATCCATAGATGCTTAAGCTATTTATTTCATTTAATGTTATTATAGCATTTTCTATTGCTTCTACATTTCCTAATATTATTATGCCTGAGAGACAAGGTTGAATTCATCTTGAATTTATTTTTATTTGATGTTGTTTTGATTTTATTTTTTTTAGTTGATGCTTTATTCATATGCTTCGCTTAATTCTCTTTATTTTATCTTTTATATTTATTTGCTCTAGAGCTCGTCATACTCCAAGGCTTTTGCTTGTTCTTGGAGTATTTATTGCTCTTGTTCAATTACTCTTCTTTTTTGATCCTATTGTTATTATTATCGATATTGTTGCTGTTCTTCGAGAGTATTTCTAGTTTGGAGATAAATAGTAATAATTACTTGAGTAACTGTTTCTAAAATTACATTAAATTTAATATTAAAATATATTTACAAAACTCATCTAAAATATTGTTATATTTAGGTAATAAATAAAGAAAATGTGATCACAGTAAATATTCTTTTTATTCGAGTGTTACAATTATATATATTTATTAATTGATTCATATTGAATTATTGTTTTAAGATGGGAAGCAAATGTTGCAGAGACGATTCTATACAAATAAAAGGTTTAAGTAAAGAAATTTCATGTAGATGAAATATTAACGGCTCAGAATCCAGATGTTACTGCACCACCAATTACAGAAAACAAAAAATCACTTTCCTAATAGGGAAGCAAGTAATCTCAAGTTGAAGACTTGCAGGCTCAACCAGAGCATAAGTAGAAAGAATATGATATGGCGATTGATGAATAAGAACTAAAATAACAAAAGGCTGCTGACTCAGTAATTTAAGAACAAACTTCAAAGGTTCCAGAGATAGTTTAAACTCAAAATATGACGATTGAATAGAGTAATCAATGCTTTGTAGATATAGTTAAAAATGAAGTATAGAGTTAAAATTAAACCGATAATTGTGCCAAATCATAAGGAAGAGTATTCAAATTTGGCGTCGAGACTTTTTTTAAGGAAAAGGAAGGATTAATTGGCACTCACTACAATTTTGGAAAGGTCTTAGGACAGGGTGCCTTTGGTAAAGTTTGGAAGGCAACAAATAAAACAACTGGTCTTGTCAGAGCCATAAAATAAATCAAGAAGAACTCCATAATCAAAGAAGAAGAATCAAGATTGTTTTCTGAGATGAATATCTTGAAAAACTTGGATCATCCTCATATAGTCAAATTATTTGAATTATTTCAAGATGAAAATAACTATTATTTGGTGACTGAGTAATTTATCGAATTAAATAGATATTTATCAGGAGGAGAATTATTTGATAGGATTAAAAAGATGTCGTCATTCAGCGAGAGTATTGCTGCAGATTACATTAGGTAAATTCTACTAGCAACAGCTCATTGCCATGAGTAACAAATTGTGCATAGAGATTTAAAACCAGAAAACATTATATTTATAAGTGAAGATCCCAAATCTTAACTCAAAGTCATTGATTTTGGAACATCCCGAAAGTTTGACAATTAAAAAGTGATGAGTAAAAGATTAGGAACAGTATTTTATACTACTTAAATCAGCCTTATTATATTGCACCTGAGGTTTTGGGTCATTCCTATACAGAAAAATGTGACATCTGGTCTTGCGGTGTCATTTTGTACATTCTATTATGTGGTTATCCGCTGTTTGTAGGAAAAACAGAAAACCAAATTTTAGAAAAAGTTAAAACTGGAAAGTTTACATTTGATCGTAAATTCAATATGCTAGCTTTTAGCCGAGGATTGGGATCCAATTTCAAAGGAAGCTAAGGCATTCATCACCAAATTATTGAGAGTGGATGCTAGTAAAAGATTGTCTGCAAAATAGGCTTTAGAAGATCCTTGGCTCGTCAAATATGCTCCCTCAACTTAAGTAAATAGAAAAGTTTTAGACAATATTCGTTAATTCTAAGTAATTCTTTATAATCTATAATCAATAAAGGCATAAACTGTATTAAAATAAGCTTTGATGTCTTATATGATAACATAGATGTCAACTTAAAAAGAAATTTAAGAGTTGCAAAAAGAATTTCAAAGATTAGATATAAATAATGATGGATTCTTGTCTAAGGAAGAGTTTCTCAAAGGCTATCTTTAGATATAAAATGACCTTAAATTAGCTTAAGAAGAAGTAGAAAAGATCTTAGAAATGATTGATATAAATCGATCAGGTTTGATTGATTTTTCGGAGTTTTGTATGGCAGCTATGAATTAGGAGAAACTACTTTCAGTATAGAGAGTTGAATAGGCTTTCAAAATATTTGACTAAGTATTTCAAATTCCTATGAAAATTAGAATGGAGATGGATTTATTTCAAAAAAAGAACTAGAAGCTGTTATGGGAGATTTAGGTGATGATATATGGAATTAAATACTAACTGATTGTGATAATAATGGTGATGGATAGATATCTTATGAAGAATTTGTAAAAATGCTAAAAAATAAAAAACTTTGATTATTATATTATATCATCTATCCTATTTCGCTATAAACACTTGTATTTATATCCTTAGAATCTCAGAATCTCAGAAAAATGATAACATTAATAAATCTTTATTCTGGGTAAAAAATATTAAAACATGTCAAAAAGGAGTTCTTATATTTTCTAAAGTTATTTAATATACGTAGATTTATTTAACACAAAATTGGATGAATTTTTAAATACATATAAGAATGAATCACCAAAGTAAATCTTGAATTAAGGCCTAATTAAGTTTTCGCCTAAAATGATTACAATAAATACTTTTTAGTAACACCAAAGTTTACAAAATCAAACTTAACAATATTCTCACTTATTTTGATCTCCATTTAGTCTTCAATCAACCTGGGCTTGCTTTATATTTTTTTTTCGTGATTTCTCGTTGAATAATTTTGGAGAGATTGCCATGTGCCATTTGCCGACTCTCTGATACCTTCACCATCATGTATGAACCACCTGAATATAAATAAATATATACTCATTGTTTTTATATATTATTTGTGCTTATCTTCTAGAAACAGTATTAATATTAATTATGACATCACATTCTTGGGATCTTCCAATTTTAAATACATATTCTTCATCATATTTGGCAATGAATATATGAGTTTGAATTTAATTGATAGAAGGACTATTGAAGGCAAACTTCAAATAGGGTCTATCATATTAACTTAATTTGTGTGGAGCTCTCTATCTCAAATTATTAGTTCTGAATTCATTTATTAAAGTATTTAACTATTCACTCTCTTCTAATGAAAGCCCATGAATCTTAGCCCCTTTTCTTATGTGTTCTTTTGCAAGAGCATTGTAGAACTGATTTAAATCTTTGGTTCTTTTTTATTTGATTTTTATGGGCTTAGATTTAATTTCCATAATATGAAAGTATGTATCAGCTCCAATCAGATATGTATTATGTAATTGCATAAGTTTTAAGTTGTCCTTCTTAATTTTTAAGAATGTTCCTGTCTTAGTTGCATTATCTGTTAAATAAAACTAAGGCTTTTCTCTAAGAGATATGAATATTATTACTTAATAAATGAGTAGATATGTTATTTAATTGAAAATGGCAATTTCCTAGCATGCTTATTTGACTTAAATAATGAAAAAAATAGAAGAACTGATTTGGTTAGAAGGTTTGAATACGAGAATCCTTTTTCTGTCGAAAGTTTACAATGGAGTTTTTCAACATTTTTATCGCCATGAGGCAAATCTAAAGTTTTGGAGTTGAAATAATTACATATATCACAATTTTCTGAACTATCATCCTATAATTTTTTTCTTCCTATAGTTATTTCCTATTTGTATTAATTTCCCAAAATTCTAATTGATTATTATTCAGAAACTTACCTGTCATATTAGAGGATGTATTCAGCATCAATTTGGCTTGAATGCTGTTTAAAGACACTTATACGAATGTGTGGTTCATTTTCATTTAATTTGTCACTTTATTTCATCTGTTTCTATAATGGCTATTCTAGAATCATCAACTAATCCTATTAAGCTATCTAGTCTCGATTAGTTTACGTTTAAATTATTGATTATTGATTTTGGTTCAGTGGATGTTAAATCTAAGTAGTAATAATAAACATTAAGAATACATTATCATCCTCTATCACAATACAATTGTCTGATGAGTTTCCAATTATAAGTTAATGATAAAATGAGCTCAATTGTTGAGGGTAATTGTTCGGATTATAAGGAGGAATCATAGGAACGGCAACTTGGCGAAGGTAAGGTAAATAATAATCTAAAAATATTTTCAATCAATTACAAAATTGGAAAGGCTTGGGATAAAGTTGATAACTCATTCTCAGCTGTGTATATTTTTGAATAAAATAATTATTTTTATAATTATTTGTATATATTCACTTATGAAAATCCAATACTTTTTTCAATTATAATAAAGAAAAATTTACTGTTTCTATTGTTTTTCATTTATTTAATATTTCAGCTTAAAAGATCAAATATCTGTGACTTACTATACAAAAGATATTATCGATATTTAAGGAATAAAAATCAAGTAAAGTGTATAGTGTTATTTTTAACCATTGAAACATCATATTTCTAAGTTTACTGTTATTTTAAGTTTACAATCATGACATAAGTGTTGGATCTATTGGAAAGGATTGATATTATTGGAAATTGTTGTAAAGCCAAACTATATTTCAATAAAATAAAGAATATATTGTTATTAAAAAAAAATGTTTTTAATAAATCATCCTAGTCTTCTACTTTATTTCACTCTGTTAGAAGATCAAGAAGCCAACAAGAGAGAATTCATACTTAAATAATTTTCATTTTAAAGTGCGCCCTCTATTCAGACTTTTAGGTTCTTAAATTTTTAATTTTGAAGAAAAAGACAAGTCCAATAAGAATTAGAAATTTAAACCATAAAAAACAGCTATTCTTTCAAGAGATAAAGTAAATAGTAATTTTCTAAAATTTGCAAAATTTTGAATAAATATAGAATTTGTAAAGATAATCTTATGAATGTTAAGAAAATCATTAAGATGAATTTTCAGAGTTATTTAAATAAATGTCAAAAAGCTTAGAAAACTATAGTCTTAATTTATAGACATAATAGATTTTCTAAAATAAAATAGGAAAATGCCTTAATATTTTTCCTTATTGCTTTTCTAAAATTATATATATATTGAGTTTCATATTTTACAATATCAATAATACAACATATTATCAAATGGCAGATTAAAAATCACTTAAGAAACTTTGCATTAACAAAAGTTGACAATTCCTTCAGAAGCTATTTATACTCATTCGGTAATTATTTCACTTCCTCATCCGATATTGATTAAAAGGTAGAGCAAAGTTTGTGCAATTATTCTTAACTTAAAAGTTTATTGACAATAAGTTCTTTTTTATTTGAGGAATTGGAGGATTTGAAGGATTGGACATTCTATTATTTACTGGACAATTTTTCATGAGTGATGCATTAAAATTAAGAATTATTTTTAAAGGATTCTAGTTAATTCTTATTTTGAATTGATTGATTTGTGTTACATCTATCTTAGATTTTATTTTGGTGTTGAGTAAGATTAATTTTTGATTTAATGTTAGAACTGAATTTTTGAGGGGAACTCTAAGTTTTAATGTAATTTTTTTAGGGACTTTTTGTTATTTCATTTGATTAAATTTGTGCTTTTAGGTTTCTTCTAAAATCATTAAATTGTTAGAGCAAGTCACTAGACTTCATGTGACAGTTAATAATAAATATAATTTCTGTAATTTATTTAGGAATAAATAAATTTATTGAATAATATGAGTGATTAGACACAGTAAATAAAAATCAAATTATGCGATATGACAAGTGAGTTGTTGAAGGATGTACAATACATAATATTGGAAAATTTGAGGAAGCACAGTAATGAAAAAGATATTGCATATTATATCAAGAGAGAGTATATTCAATAATCACTATTTAGGTTAGATAAAAGGCACTTAGGTCCTTGGCACTGTATTGTGGGTAAAAACTTTGGTCTGTTTGTGACACATGAGGAAGGATATTACCTCTAAGCGATAAAGGGATAAATAACAGTTGTTGTCTGGAAATGAAAGATTATGAAACTTTCTTATTTTTTTAATGATATATTATATAGTTGTGTAAATGTTGTCAAATTAATTTACGACAAACGGGACATTGTTATTTAATTATTATCCATTGTTAGAGACAATGATCATGGAAGTGATGCCTATGTTAAAATATAGATTTACATATAGCTGCATGGTAACTATATAATTTTATCATTTTCAACGTAATCACACATACAAATGTTGCATTATGAAATAGAAATTTCCATAGAATTATGATAATGAAATACGCGCATTTTCTATATTTTATTCTAAGATAATCTATTAACAACAATACTTTGGTTTGTATTTTTTGGACAATATTGCGAGTGGATTTGTAGATGAATAAGAAGAGTATTATGGGCATGTAGAAAGCCATCGAAATAACAGCTAGTCCAAAGCCAATAATGAGAAATGCTGAAAATAAGTAGCCAATTAATAAAAGTAAAAAGGTTACATTGTTTAAATCTAATAGATTAATGTGGGTTAATTACTATCATCGCAATCATTAGAATCTGATTAGAAATAGGCTACATTTCCTCCTGTGAAGATCATATAGTAAACGAATTGGTTATACACCTTCATGATTCTCGTATATTTGTTGAGAACTTCAGCCTAATGGATAATCTCGTATTAAGTGAATGGTGGTTCAGCATTTAATTCTTCCTCTGAGATTTCTCGAGTGGATAATTTCATCTTGATGAGAGTTTTGATTTATGCTCGTCTTGGATATATTTAATTATTACCTATTCCTTTCTTGCATGCCACTTAGATTCATTGATTCGTCTGATGTTTTTGTTAACATATCAGCCAAAACCAATAGGAAAATATCCTTAGAGTTCATCTGCAATGAATATAACACTGCTAAGTAACTACCTTATGATTATTGAAATACCGAATGGAATTGAAAAATTCATACATGCCCACAATTGTTAACCATACAACCAAAGGATTGACCTCGCACTTTTTATCCCTCTACTATAAACTGTAAAAGCAAGCAAGATATTTTCCGAAACTAAAAAGTAGGTAAAAACCTGATGTCAAGAAAAAGAAAATACCAATATATTTGTAAGATTATTTGAATTAGGATCTAAAAAGCAGTTTAAGCAATTTAAATTTCTTTTCGTCTTCATCCTTGGTAACATATTTGATTTAGTTCTCGGAACTTTCTTCAATTTATCTATTCATAAATATATATTATAATTGGAAACTTAAATTTGAAATAATTGAATTCAGATAATTATCATTGTACAGCAAATATATATATATAATAAATAATATAAATGAAAGGTTTGAATTACAGATTTCCTCATTCTAGATAAGATTCAGGACAAGCCAACAGAGGCGACAAAAGTCTACTTAATCAAGGAAACCAAGGGGCCTAAGTTATACATAATAATAGGTAATGCATATATTCTACAACAATTTAATAGATGGAATGAACACAACGATCATTCTCCTTCTCCATTGATGCATGCCATGTAGAAGATTTCAGTATAGTCTAGTTAATCTACATCTGCTAATCATTCTAAAAAATCATCAATTTCTAAACCGAAATAAACTCAATAGATGTCATTTCTAAATTATTTGATACTTAAAAAAGAGGACGAAGAACAAGAGAAACAAGTAGTTCAGCAATAACAGAATCAACACAAACAATAATAGTCATCATTCATGTAAAATAACTACTTCCCAAATGAAGTAGTCGTTTAGAGAAACATGTTTAATTTTTTGTATGTTATTGGAATTGGTGGGTTTGGTAAGGTTTGGAGAGTTGAACACAAAAAAAATGGTTAGACTTATGCTATGAAAGAGATGTCCAAAGCTTTGTATTAATATATTTTCATATCAAAAGGATCATTGCTAAAAAAAGTGTGAATTCTGTGATGAATGAAAGAAGTATATTGAGTAACCTTAAGCATCCGTAATTATCTATATGTATATTCTAGCTTTCTTGTTAACATATACTTTGCTTTCTAAGACAGAGAAAACTTGTTTTTAGTATTGGATTACATGCAAGGAGGAGATCTCAGATATCACATCGGTAGAATGCGTAGATTCAGTGAGGATCAAACAAGTAAGTGTTCATTGTACAACAAAGAGGATTTTTTATGGCTTGCATCTTTCTAGGATTAGAACATATGCACTCTAAAAATATCATACATAGAGACATCAAACCAGAGAATTTAGTCTTAGACAAAAATGGTAATACTACTATCACATATTTTAAGGATATGTGAGAATCACAGATTTAGGTATTGCTAGAGTTTTGAGACCTGATAATGCTTAAGATACAAGTGGAACACCAGGATACATGGCTCCTGAAGTTATGTGTAGATAAAATCATTCCTATGCTGTGGATTATTTTGCCTTAGGAGTAATTGGTTACGAATTTATGCTTGGCAAAGTATTCAATATATAAACTAGAATAGAGGCCTTACACAGGAAGATCCCGTAAAGAAATTAGAGATCAAATATTGGCCAAGCAAGTCTAAATTAAAAGATCGGAAATACCTGATAATTGGTCTCTAGAATCTGCTGATTTTATCAATCGAGTAAATTTAAATAACATAAACATATTAGTTAATTTAAAGGAAACCTGCCAATAGATTAGGTTTTAATGGACCCTAGGAATTGAGGTAGCATTCCTGGTTTAAAAATTTTCCATGGTAAAAGCTCTATAATAAGGAATTAAAAGCACCGTTTATTCCTCATGTAATTCTGAGTTTTTTAGTAAATTTAGCAAACAGAGGATAATTTCGATGCTCGATAAATATCAATTGAGGATGAGGAAAACAATGAATTGATTCAATAAAATGCTATAATGCTAAGGAGAAATTCAATACAAGGTATAAAATGCCCTATAATCAATTAGCACTATTTAACGGATATGAACTCGATAATTTTACTCAGGCAAATGAACCTATAAAGCAATAACTCAACAATAGTAATTATTGATTCATTCTAATTTATTTTATATAATAATAAATTAAATTAAATGAAAACTGAATTGTTTTTCGATCATTGTGAATATATGATATTTTGAGAATTGAGGGATTAATATATTTATTTATAATATTTAATATACATATTTTACTACTATGATATATATCATCAAGCTTTTTGTTTTTGCTCCTAGTGTCTTTTTTTTTATGAATCTTTGTCCATTGGCAACTAAAAGGGATAAATGATTAAAATACTTTCAATAATTCTTTGAGGGCAGGATCATTGAGATCATGAGCAGACTTGAATTTAGTCTCATCCAACTTCAAACCTGAAATTTAGATTGTGCTATTGGCTAGAACAGCAACAGTAATTGTGAATTATGCTACAATACTATTTGGACTTATCAAAATAGGATATGGATTCAATAATTCGTGTTTTGCACATTCTTGAACTGCCAATTTAGCTGTGATTTCATCTTCGAAAGCTCTCAATGAGAAACACAAAGATGGATATTTTTCATAGACTTCTTACATGAAGGCTCTGCCATGTTTAGTTTTTAATTAGTATTATCTATCCAATGCTCTTTTGTAGACTGTAGTTCTTAAATCAGACTATAGTGATAAGATAAGAATTGTACTTCTTTAGTCTTTCCATCACCAGTTGTAATGTACACATCCAAAACAAAAACATCATTGACTTGAATTTCTTCTTCATCAACTCTTTATTCTTGGGTTTCTCTATTGATGATGACTTTGTTTCCATCAATGAAATGTCTCTTGACTTCATGACTCAAAACACCTTCCAAAGGAGTGCATTTGTGATCATCTGCAATTTATTAAATAAGTTTTGTTAAAGCTGTATTTGTAGTGCCTGGTTTGATTGATCTGTAAAGAGCTTAAACTGATTAGTAAGCAGCCAATATCACATCAGCCTTTTAGCCTTCCACTTAATCTTCTCCTACTACGACTGTGTGTGCAGCAATTGCAATAAATCCATCAATGTGAACACCCAATTGACTATTGATTATTATAAATTTTACATTTTAGCCACGTCTCCCTTTGCTAAATTACTGTTTTCAGACTTCAATGGAGAGTAATGTCCGCATATTTGATTGACAGAAATAGTTGTTGGAAATGCTAAGCCTTTTTCTATATTTTTCTTATTGTAAACTTTTTGTAGTTCTCCATTAATCTCCTGATCTCCAAAAGCACAAATGGAGGCTATGTCAGCATCTGGCTATATTTTAGCAATCACTTTCTCAAGAACAACTGATCATTATTAAATTAAAAAAAATACCATTTACAATCTTGCCTGCATTTTGATATTTATCTAATACTCCTGGAGTGGCTATTGATTCAAGCTTATCTTATTCTGTTTATTAATCCATATTAAATTTAAATATTTATTTAAATCTTTATATATTGTATAATCATATATAAATATTTATATTTAGTTAATTTGTCAATTGCAAAACCCTAATGGTTCCCACATATTCTCCTAATCCTCATACTCATCCACCTTATATTTTGGCAACAATTGTCCGTGAATTACTTCAGGAGTGAACACCCTATCCAAAGTCAACAAGAAGGCATCATCCAACATTCGAGGTATCAACATTTTAAGTAGGTTGGAACTCTCCTCCAAACATGGATTTGCGTTGACTTCTATCAACCATAACTTTAGATTTTCATCGATCATGAAATCATATCCCAACAATTGCATCCCATATTTTCGATTCCTCTTATTCAGTCTGGTCGAATTCATAGTTATTTTCACAACTTCCTTAATTACTGGCCACCCTTCCTTCCTAAAATTATACACTGTCTCTTGTTGACTACAGTTAAAATAATATGTACTCTAATAACTGTTGAAATCTCTTTAAAGACAGTTAATTGCCATCTTCAAATTATCCATAATTTTAGGCATTCTTTTAAACTGCATTATTAGTTAAATGAATGTATCTGTCTTTCTAAATCTATTAATTGATATCTTACATTGTCTAACGAAAATGTAGTTCCACTAGTTCTAATGTATGCCTCCTTAAATAAAAAGTACTGCATATCCTAAGAGATGAGAACCCAACATCGTATATCAAACTTCCTTCCACTCAACAGCAAAGGCCTTTCAATGTATTTTTGAATCACAAATTCCTTGCACTCGTAATTTCCTTTACCATAGTAGTAAGATTTAATTAAAGCTTCAACTTCTTCTAAAGTACTAAAAACATGAACGCCTTCCCCTCTATTCCAATCTGCTGGTTTCAAGAGCCATAAATACTATGAATTACTCATCAAAGTTTCCTACAACTTATAGGTCTTAATCCCATTGTAATTGACTTTTGTACCTACAAGATTTGATAGATAAAAATCAAATTCCAAAGAGGTTTTCATATTTGTTTATCCTAATGGATTGTTTGCTTGATAGAATTCAGTAAATTATTGAACATCTCTCACCCAGTCTTGGGTTTTAAAGTTAAAAATAAAAACTAGAGGTATTATATCAAAAGTTCGTTCAATATTGTTGTAATATTATAGGAGAGATTACGATAACCCTAAGCATAATTCTAATAGATACCAGTCTTCGATGTGATATTCTTATGAAATTCAAAGAAATTATACATCACTCTTACATAATAACTCTCTGATGGTGTCAAACGATTAAAATCCATGCCAAAATATGATTGTTACCATATGAAATGTTTGTATTAAAATGATTGCGGCACTGCTGTCCAATATTGATCTCTCTTTTATAAAATTCGTTTTACAAGTTCTCCATTATTGCCTGATCCAACATAGTAATTGAACTTATAATAGCTTCAATTGATACCTTCAATTTTGGTAAATTTCTATCTCTGTTGTAATTCAAAGTCGGATTTAATGCAGGAATGGTCACCTTTTATCTGTTGGCAAAAGGAGTATAATTATTGGGATTAATATATCTTTTGTTTTTGTTTTCCAAACTTTCAGATAACAGTCTGGGTGATAGGATATCAAATTTGTTTTGTCTGATCATTTGTCTGTTGGTTGTTATCAGAGGGAGGGTTGGTTAAGAGAGTTCTTCCTCTGAAACTTCCATCAAGGGTATGTCTTTTCCTGCCAATAATTTATCCCTCTGTTACTATCTTGCTATGTAATATTTCACTCCATCAGCATAGATGTTCAAACTTCTTGCTAAATCTGGTTTCTATTTAATTATTTTCTCTAATGTTTTTTTTTATCTATCATCGGCTTTACACAACAATTCCAAGTTGTGAAAGTTCCCCAAGGATTTGCTTTGAAGTTGCTCTTCCTTCTCTTTTTTTTTAATTAGTTTCTCTTTTGTGGCAGATGCCATTTTTGATTAATTTAATAAACCAAATATTTTATAAAATTATCAGTATGAAAATTAAGTAATCCCAAGTTGTTTAGGTTGTGGAATATTTCAAATTATAAAATTCTTTATTTAATGCTTTTTGGATAATAAATAAAATATATAAAATAAATGTACGACTTTTCGAGAATGCAAAAATTGGTGGATAGAATGTAAAAACTACAGCCTTCGTAACCTCCTGCCGATACAAGATTCTTGCCTGAAGAATTGAAGAAGGAGAAGGTCGTTGAGGAACCAAAAGGAATTGAAAAAAAAGCCAAAAGATAACTCCTCATAAAAAATTAAAAGGGCTCAGGCGGTTTGAAACCTGTTGAAGATGAAAGGTTATTGCTCATCCAAAAGGAGAATTACTTAAAGAAAAAGCAAAGGGAATTAGAGATGGAACAAGTAAAAAAGGAATTAGCAGAACAAAAAAAGTAAGAAAAGTAAAAATTAGAAATAGAAACTTAAAGAGCTTTATAATTTGTTAAAGGAAAAAAGGAGTATTAAACACACAATTTATATTAGGATATCGTAAGTGGAGAGAGAAGAAAAAATCAAAAAACAAAATGACAATGAATTCTTAAAAAGAAAATAAAAGGTGAACAATTCAATTTAGATGTCTTCAATTGATGCATCATACGTATCCTAAAGCTAAAATCTAAATAACTCTTTGATCAAGAAATAAATCTTAGATTATCACACACTCCCTAAAGAGCAATATTATCGCATTTATCGTTAACCTGCTGTAAGTCCCCCAAAATGAATTCATTAATTACATTCATCCAAAATTAACCCTTAATTATATTATAATATTGTTCATAATAGATATAGAATTCTAATTTTTCAATTTAATTTTTATCTCTACGATAAAGTCCTCTTAGCCTCCTAAAATTTCCTTTGAAACTCTGATAATTGGGTTTGCTCTCCATTATTTAGAGTAAAAGACTAATTATTTTCTTTGTTTTCATCCTACACTAATGACTGGAGCGGAGTTTAAAATTAGAACAATCTTTTGGTTCTATCATCTCTTGCCCTTTCATACAATTTCTTTTCATTGATAGTTGGTTCAACAGTCTCTAATGCTCTCAAAGACATAATTTTAAGTTTGGTCGATCTGATGTCCTCAATTTATTGTATGATACTCTGTGGATCCAATTAGTATTGTAACTATAATGAGGCACCCCATGTATTTCTTTCAGTAAGAATGGTTCTTGTAAGTTAATCGATTTTTCTATTATTGAGAGCAATGTAATTGAAAGCCATTATAGATTGGCTCTAATCTGGATGATCAGGGAAATATGATTCTATGTCACTTAAAACATCATTTAATTTCTATAATAGATAGATCTACAATAATACATCCATTTGTGCTTGTATTTTTTAAACTTCTGCGTCAATTTCTTTGAGCTTCTCGCACATAGTATCATCTGCAACCTAAATAAGTTCAGACTCTTTCAATTAAAGAGCCTTGTACAATTCTTAAAAGTTGGATTGAATCTGCATTTTTGTCGAGGTGTTGATTTCAACTAATTCTTTCTTTTTTGCAGCAAACTTGCATTAATCTTGTAATAATTAATCTTGGCTCGATTTGACCTTCTAATAGAATTGATCAGCCTAAATTAATGAATGGTTTTACTTTGGTTGTTCTAATGATTGAATATGACTTTTGAACATTCTTTACTTCATGGTTTTTATGTAATCCTTATAGATAGCATTCCATACAAAAACAAGGAGTTTCACAGGTATAACAATAAAGTAATGCTTCTTCGCTTGCATGTTATTAACATGTCACCGTCAATCCTTGTTGAGTATTTAGATGAATTTAGGATGCTTTCGAATGAGTGGAAGCCTAATATTAGACTTGTTATCTTGAGCTTTTTAAATTTGCAGTTGACATTCGAGATGACTGCAATTTGTACATGTCTTATAAGACTTCGATTGCGGAGGGATCCAAAAGGGTCTATGAAGAACAGATCTCACAAACTAAGGTTTGACATTAGAGTTTATAATAGAGTTTAGCAGAACATTGAAGACATAGATTGTGTTCACATGACAATGCTAAGATTTAATCTACTTCATTTCCACATTTAGTGCATTCCAAGAGATCCTCCATTTAACTGCTAATTTAAATTTGAATATAATTAATAAATATATAAAATTTCATTTAGCAGCTAATGCTTATAATAAATTAGTATGTATTTAAAATAGCGCTTTTTGCATATCATCCTGAAAATGAGGTCTTTTAGCATAAAATCCTTAAAATTGACTATCCTCATAGACACCTACAATGTATCTTTCGTCTTCAAACTTATCAAGTTTTTCTAATCTGGCAACTAATTTGCCATCCACCACATCCACCAAATTTAATTGGATAATTCTATACTCTGGATTTCGATTGAGCACTCTCAAATCAAAATATTTCATAAAATGAATTTACACAAGGGATACCATGCATTTGACTATAAATACCTATCCTGGAATTTCCATCAAGGCAGGCAGTATGTGTACTAATATAACTAGATCCCCTACAATCATCATCTATTATGTTTTTGTCATGTCTAATTATTTTTCTTTCCAAAATAATACTCTTCTAGCAACAAACAGTCCTCTATCTATTTCTGGCTAATCAAAAAACTAAAGGTAAGATAAAAATTTCAATTCTGGAATCATGAAATCGTTTGTGCAATAAGTAACTAAACTAGTCATCAGATATTTCATTGCATTTGTCAATTGCATATATGATTGATCTAATTCTTATTCGGTCAAGGGTTTTTCTGGATTCTTCTGATAAAAAAAACAATTATACAATAAAATCTATTTCTTTTATTTTAGTCAAATAATTTTCTACTTTTGCCAATACCATTTTGCACCAATCATTAATGCGTTTCAAAGCAACTGGGTATGAAATTTTTTATATTACTGCTTTACACTCAACCGAATGTTTGTATAGTTTTCTCCATAAAATATTTAAAGGTTTACAATATATCTTCCATCGCATAGCGCATCTGACTGCATTAAAAATTACCTTCAGTCTTGAACCCTAAAATAACGCCTTCTTGTCTCCATTCTATTATTACATAAATTTATCATACATCAGAGAAAAAACTCTATTTGGTTTATTGAATGGACCTTTTCGAAATTAATGGAATAGTCTTTTGACTCGATCTTCGGGAATTTTAGGCTTGCGAACCAACAGTTTTGATTTTGCCTAAAGATTGAGGGTTTTATTAATTTGTTTAGGTTTCTTGGGGTTGGGGCTAAGATTAAGGTGGAGGATAGTAGGGAGATTGATAGGGGTTGTACTAATAGGGTTGTTGGTATTATTATTAAAGTGGGTATGGTGGAGGTGGTTATCCATATGGAGGAGGTTACTGTCCGTAAGGATAATATGGATAAGGAGGTGGGAGATACTGAGGTTGCTGTATTTGCTAAGGCATTTGCTAATAAATTATCTAGGGAGGTTGAATAATTGGCTATTACAGTTGTTAGGCTTATTGGAAAAAGGATTGTCTTAAGGATGAGATTTCTTGCTTAATTTCATTTAATTATTCATATTGGGGTAGCTTTGGTAATTTTAGATGTATGGTTTGAACTTGGCTTTTTAAATTTTCTAGTTCTTACTTAAAAACCTAAGCTTTATTTATCTTGATTATCCATTTATAATATTACATCTCTTTATTCTTTCAATAGTTTCTTTAGAGTCTAGTTTTATAAATCTATTGCAAGCTACATCTGAACTACTTCCTCATTGACAGAATCGTCTGGTTACTGAGATACCTTGGGAAATTAGAAGGATTTATTCAATCGTCCAGATTATCTAACTCCGCTTTTTTGACTAGGTTCATGAGGTAATTAAATATCATAGGATGGCTTCATAAATTTATCCAATAAATCCAACTGATTTCTCAAATTATCATAGCCAGGCTGAGGTTTCTAATAGGAGGATGCTCTCCTTTCCCTATAGTACATTTTATATTTTTATTATAAACATAATATATTTCAAAATATTAACTGTGATTTACTAGTATAATCATTCAATTAAATTAAAGTTCTAAAAATTGATTATTTACATTCACATTATTTTACAATTACTATAGATTAAAGGAGTTTTATGAAATATTGATTTTCATTTATTGTTAAATATTTTAAAAAATTATCAATATTAACTAAAAAATAATAAAAAAACTGAATTATTATATAAATTAAATGATACTCTTCCTGGAAAAGACCTTATAAAATGTTTATAACGAGCGAAACGAATTCCAATATATATTAATGATAAGAATTTTTTATTAATTTTATATCTATTTATAAGGATACTTCTGGGATAGTGAAATTACTAGCTAAGATTCATTAATCTATGCAAGCTAGACTGCGTTGATAATTAGTATTTTAAAACCTAGTCATGTTATGGTTATGTAAAAAACTCAGAGATGCTTATGATGGTTTTAATTTGTTAGTACTTTTATTTGTAATCTAATCAATAATACTCATAGATTTTTGAGTTTGCATTGATATAATAGTTTGCTCATCCAATGGAGCTCTACAAAGAGGACAAACCTAATTTAATATTAATATTGAAGTTACTTTTATTTTTTCAATCCAGAGTTGCAAGCACTTTGAATGGTACAAATGTTTGCAATACGTAATCTTAACATTATTTTAGAGATCAAATTTTTCTAAGCAAATTGAGCAATACTAATAATCTAAACTAATCGTATGAACATCAGTATCTTTGATTTCTTAAAATTTGTAAGTTGGTATATACAAATCAACATATGTGGTTGGGTTTGGCTCAGTTTATAAATTTTGTTATTAAAATGCTTTGTTTTTAAACAATTTATAGCAACAACAAATCATAAATGTGATAAAAATAATTGATAAAGGGATGAATAAAATGAACAGAATTGTTGAAATGCTTACTTTTTCGTCATTTATCTCGATTATTTCAACCAAACTTTAATTGGGAAGTTTAAATAAATAATAAGGTGTTTGTTGTACCTGCATTTAATCTGAAACTAAAAAGGTAACATCTTTGCAATCCTAGATCCTATTATGGTCTATTTAGATCAAATTGGTTAAGACTTGAGTTCCATGGTTAATTTAAGGGTTTTCAGCATAACATTAGGATCTGAGAGTTATAGAGCTTGATAGGACTCTTAAAAAAGTTGTTCCAGTTAATTATTCAATATCTAAATAATATAAATAATCTGATGAAAGAGTTGTTTATTACAAAATATCCAAACCTTGAATACTGCAATCATCTCCAAATGATCCCTTCGTGCACTAACAAACTCCTTAAAAACAACTTCCTCCGTATCGACAATCTCTAATTTGGTTAATATTCTTTTTACTTTGCACACCCTGATAATGGTATTATCTCTGCGTGAATTTTGAATGAAGATTGCAGTTTTGAAAGTGCCCCGATAAATAAACCCCTTTCTTTAAATTCATAAATATTGAAATTTGAATGATATTTGTTCATTTCTAATCTGTCCTAAAGAGATACAACCTACTTCTTACTATTATCTTCATATGCATTAGCATCATAAGTACATTATTCTCTAGTAGTTATAATTTTTAATTACTTTGTGATTGAATCATATTCCATCGACACAGTGGCATTTGGTTTGTTTGGACACAATAAAAGAATAGGTATTTCTCCATCAAAGTATGTAAGAGATATGGTTATCTTTGATCTCATAGGAAAGCCGTCTTTTGTTAAATTGGTTATTGAGAAAGATTAAACACCCTACACTCTCTAATAAGTCTTTTCGATTTTTTGGTTCACTATTTATTTAATGCAGATTAGAAAGAATAAAATAATCATAGTAATTTATTTTAATACCACATAGTTTATATTATTTGAAATTTCAGTAATTATTCATTTAATTTACAGTTCCAATTTCTACTAGATAGGCATATGTCTAATTGTTGAGCCAGTATCAACAAATGTAACTAAGTTTTTTTTCCTATTGCTCTAAAGATTGGAGAAGGTTGATTGTTATAAGATATCTGTTTTCTAATTTTTTCTCATTGTCTCTAAATCTAAGGGAGATCTGCAGCGAGGGCAGCTCTACACATTCTAACCAATAATTTTACTTTGTTATTGGTCCACCACATTTTAAAACAAAAATCATGGTAGAGATGATTGCAATAAGTTATTCTGACAGACTAGTTTTGTTAGAGCTCTTTCATGCATAAAGCACACTCAATATCTGTTTATTCTACCTACTCTAGAGCTAAAGAAAATTTAATAATAGGCACAATCCTTAAAGCCTTCAAGTCTTTTGGATTTTTATGATGGTAAAATATGTAGAGCATACTTAATAAGGCTAAAATAAGCAAGGCAATGAAGGCTACAATTAAATTTTAGAATATAAAATGATTCTCTTATTGTGTAATCTTTATCCTATTAGGTGAGGTTTATTCAAAGATAACATAAGATTATAATTTAATTGGAAGTTGTTCTTGCATTTCGATAGTTTTCATTAAACAGGATTGCAAAAAGGTTTGATTAAAATTAATCGAGTTGGCTGTGATCTACACTCCTTGAAATTGCATCTGGTATTGATGCTAGCATGTATATCTAATATCAACAAAGGATTCTAACTATCTTTCAAATTTAGAAACATTGAATGATTTAATATGAAAAAAGTATTCTGATCTTGGTTCCAAGTCTTATTAATTTTCGATGTCTTTAATCTAAATACTGCAATCACTCCCCAAATAGGATACTGGACATTCACAAAATCCATTGATGCATTTGCCATTGTTTTAGCAGTTTCTAAATTAATAATATTTTAATACTTCGCACATTAATTTTTTCGTGTTTATGTTAATTCAAGAAGAAAGCTGCTTTCATTTCCTTATGAAATTATTCCCATATAGGGATTGCTCGAGAAGAGGTAATAGATGGCAAACAATTCGCTAATTTCTTTTGAGACAGGATTATTATCGAAAGTAATGGCTTGCGATGAATTTTGGTAATATGAATTGATATCATAAATACATCCTAGACTATCTGTTATTTGTTATAATACGTTTTGAGTGAATGAATATTAAGCAAAGTATTATTCGGCTAGGAATTACATATAATGAGCAATGACTTTGTTGTATTAGATTATGGCGACAAATAAAAACGCAAATGCTTTTCATTATCAATAAGAGACAGGTTAAGAGTAATATTCAGAGCAAAAATGTTTTCTGAAGTAGTAAAATTCCATTGTTGGTTAAAGAGTTATTCTGCAACACAAAAAGAGAATAAGATGATATATAACATAATTATATTTATTAGCTAAAACTTATTTGACAAAAATGATATTAAAATTTATACCAAATGAAATACATTTGTTTTCATTTTGTCATTTAAATTTGTTTGTTTTAATCCTCCTCATTATTATTATTTTGAGGGTTATCAACTTATTCTGAAAATTGTTAAACTACAATTTAGTGTTCGTCTCCATACAATCTTGTATTATGTTACGATTTTGGAGTCAATAAAAAGAATTGAGCCTATTGATTCTCTGAGATATGCTGACCTTAATGATCACTAGAAGACAAGAGATGACTTTATACTAATTAATTGACATTTAGGTTCTCTCTGCACATAGGACATGTCTAAGATCATTAAAAATTGTTACTTAATGCTTATTTAACCATTACTTTAAACAATCAGCATGAAATATATGAGTGCAATAAGTAACCTTCACTCTTTCTTGGACTTTGAATGCATTAAGACAAATTTCACATTCTTATTCATTTTTTAAGCCAGGAAACTTTTACAGAATTTCAGCATAAGAGAATTCAGGCATCATTTGGTTTTCTTTTTCTTCCATTAGTTTCTTCTCCTTCTCTATTCTTTCCTTTTCTTCTTTTTTCTTTTTTTAAATTATATCATCCTTCTTACATCTGTAAATACAATATATAACGACAATCATTATAAAAAGAGAAATACTACCTATTACTATTCCTATAACAAAGGGATCCACCTGACTATCAGAACTTTTAAATTTAACAATAAAGGGTTCTTTCAATTTGATTATTATTTTTGCAAATTATTATTAAGAATTTTATTCTAATTCATTCACATAATTTAAACAATTATACATTTCATCAACAGTTATGTTTATTATCGATAATTATTTCTCTGTAGTATTCTGTAACAAATATGGGTTGTTAGCATAGCAATCTACAATGATTACAGCTTGCTCCTCTAATCTGGCGAAGTAATATTGAGTAAGCTTCTACTCTTTTTCCATCCATTCATAGATATCAAAAAAATAAAATTGCGAATTTAACAGTGCTGAAGTTTCTAGTATTGATTTGCCTATAACAGAACAATCATGAGAGAAGTAATTTTAAGGGCAAATGCATATGCCTTGGCTGCAAATTCCTCCATTTTTACAATCGCTTGGCTTATTACAAATTTATACTAAGGGCAATTTTAAAATTTAGTAATTTGAGCCAGAAGATTAAAAGAATTATTGGATCTTATATCTAAATAAACATTAGAGCTAAAAGGAATAGCATTATATTATGTTTTATATGAATTCAAGATGTTTGCCTAATTAACAATTCTAACATTTTAGACCTTCAATTTAAAATCAATAGCGTTGTGATCAATCACACAGCTAAAATAAAAAACAATTTAACTTGGCTTTATATTAATCGGTACATAACTCCATAATGGGTTAATTTTCACTGTTATCCAAGGATGATAAACTGAAAAGAATTACTTCTCCTATTTTTAAATAAAATCCTTATGGTATAAAATTATCAAACTAGTAAATGTCTTTTTAAGACAAATTGGTCTCATTTAGTAAGATCATTTAGCAGCTCAATTATTAAAGCAAATTAATTATGATAAGCGTCAATTCTATCATTATAAATAATTTATTACAATATTATGAAAATTTAAAGCATAAATTTATTCTCCGTACCCAAAGTAGAAATTATTTAATACTTTGAATTGATAAATTGATAATAAGTTTAGAATTTAATTGATGTTAATTTCACTAAATTGTAATCTTTAAAAAATGTCTAAGGAGCATCTGATTATAATACATTATTTTTATATAATTTATAGAATTAGTTGGTTAGATCTCAAATGTAAATATACCAATATACGATTCAGCTTGTTAATTATAATAAAAGAGATAATAATTATTTTAACTATTAAATACTGATTAGGGAGTAATTTTATTTATAAATGATAAATACTTTGTTAATAAATTTTACCCATGAAAAATTTATGCCAAATCTGCTAACAATCATAAGTGGAAATAGCTAATCTTAGAGCTCAGCTCTAAATTAAATAGCAATAATTACTTAAGATTCAAGAATAATATGAATAAATAAAAGAAGAGCAAATGGAAATCAAGCAAGGTCTTAAGCCTTTGTTAAAAGAAAAACTTGTGTATGAAAAAACCCAATCCAAGTAATTGTTAAAATTGCAGGATAAATAATAAACTTTGTTACAAATACTTAATTATAAAAATTATATTCTAGACTCTCTGGATAAGAAAAAAATTATTTTTAATGATTAATCAAAATCCTGTGTTAACTGATTCTATATAGAAATTTTCAGATAATCTTTTGCCTTAATTTTTTGATTATTGCAATTCGAGATGATTGAAAGAATATCTTTCTTTTAAAACTTTGCTAAGTTTATTCAACTCTTCCTACATCGTTGGTTTTTATTTAAGAGAATCTTGAGATTTGCATGCCCTTCATTATTTTTATTAATTACCAATTTTTCTCAAGCGATTTCACTTACACTGGCTTTGGTCTTCTAGATTTATATTAAGATGGAATACTGTAAACTGAAAAAGACCCATCAGATTGATCTAGATAATGTCTTTGGAGAGCTTACCCAATAAATCAAGGATGCCTTTCTCTAACTCCTATTTATTTTCATTTTTCTGATAAATCTGCAGAATTTCCTAAGTTTTTCTGTCACCTTAAATTAGCAAATCTGTTAAATCACTAAGATAAAGTTACCTTTGAGTTCGCCTTTTTATGATTAATTTATAACATTTCTTCTGCACATTTCATATAAGGTTAGCAAATATTAACTTTCCTTACTAGAAGAAAACTACATGTATTTAAAAAAGTAAATTTATAAATAATTATGAACTGTTAATATATAAACTATAATACAATAGATATTCAAAAATTAATTTTATAATGTACTAAGATTTACTAAATAATATTTATTATGCATTGAGTTTTACCATTTATTTCTCGAGATGAAATAAACTCAATAATAATTTCATTACTATTCAATGGCATAGGGCTACCATATCTTATTAGACCATGCCTTCTAATTTAATCATAATAAATGTAAATAATTTATACGATGTGTCTCCTTTTTAGTTATTTTAAATGAATTATAATAATAGTATATAAATAAATTTATTGCAAATTTTATTATTGTATCTGTTAGTCTCACTATATATTATTTATTTATCATACTCAAGATGGTTAAATCTCCTAAAAAAAAAAATAATTAAATTATGAATTAATAAAAAGGTATTAAATATTATTGAGGTTTAGATAAGCAATAAAAACCGGAATGTTCGCCAATCTCTGAATAGAATGATTTCTAAGACACAACGTAAAAGCGGGATTTCCCTGAATTGAACCAATTGTACAGGGAAAAAGAGGATTTGATCAAATGGTTGCTTGACTAATTATAAATTGCTTAAAGGTTATGCACTCAAATAGTAACAATCAAAGTATAATAATTCACTTAAAATTTTAGAACAAGGATTAAATCTAGGACTTTTAAGAATTAAAGCGCATTCTTGATGAGTCATTAGAAAAAGCAAAAAATTAGGGGTATTCTTAGGAAACGAGTGTTAACCCATTTGATTCACCACCAAAATTCATTTGCGATAAGGAAATAATAGATTCAGATATTAAAACTAAAAGCTAACATAAATTGATCAATAATCCCTCCGATACCAAATTTATTTCAAATACGAACAATCATGAAATTAAGTGTAATAATTTAGATAATTTAGTTGGCCATAGAGATAATTAATAGAAAATCTACTAAAATACGAATGCTTACAATCAAACTCTTTAATAATCAAAGGCAAACTAATAAGAAGATTTTAGTTAAGAAAATGGATATGAAGAATTTGGATCATCATGCCATTTTATTAATTCCTCATATGAATTAAGAGCAAAAGAATCATTTATGCGATTGAAATAGAATTAACTTAAACTCTCATAAGAATATTTAAATTTATAAAGGGAATTTAAAATCTATAAGGAAGCATCAAAGTAATTCATTCAAAATGATGTAAAGAAGTTAATTTAACAATTCAAAATTTAAATCTCCAATCAAGTGAGAAGTTAGCCTGAAATTTGCAATTACGAACCATAAAGTTAAGAAACAACTCTTCATTTAAATAGATAAATCGAATCTTAAACCAACCATAATATTTATAATTTGATGTTTTCCAAATATAAAGAAACTCTACTACAATTAAGAATTCAGTTTGAAAGTCTAAAATAGGGTTTGATTAATGAAAATCAAAAATTAAAATTAGAAGTGGAGAAATAGATAGAAAAGTTTAAAGAAAAACTCTAAAGTATTTTTAAGCAAAATTAATCGAATATAACAAAAATAAAGGATTTGTCTGATAATTTATCTATCAAACATAAGGAGAATGAGGATTTGAAGAAATCTGTAATTAATATCAAAAAGGAATTGGATGTGGAGAGACAAAATAATTAAGAATTATAAAATAGATTTCAAGAACAAGCCAATGAAGCTTAATTAGAATAGTTTAATGATTCAAATGTTTATTCCCTATTAAGGAAATTTGAATAAAATTAAAGAGCGGTTTGTCAAAATGGCAATGAAGCATTTGAAAAATTGCAAATGATGGAAGAACTTAATTAATCAGTGACTCAAATTAAGAAAGCAGTTATGAAAGATTATGAGACTCAAATTGACAATTAAGGTTAAGAAATTAAAAAGTAGGAAATGGTAATTAAAAATTTATAAATGGAAAAAAAATAATTGGAAGAAAACATAAGATAAAATAATCTTTAGGGTATTCTAAATGCTACATTACAAAAAGTATCAGATCAGGAAAAAAAAAACTATGAGTTATCTATTGAAATCAGCAAAAAAGCAAATCAAATTACTTTTTTGAAAGAACAAATTCAAACATTACACGACTTTGTTTAAGGTAAATAGAATGAAATAAGAAAATAATTAATGGAGGAGTGTGAAAATATAATGAAATTGTAATTGGAAGGGTGTTATACTTTATAATAATAATCTATTCTTTTTAGTTTCCTAGGACTTAAGATATTTAGATAATACATTATTTCTGAAAATTCTAATAGAACTTAAATTGATTTAACTATGGAGAAATTGAATCAGTTTAATTTGACATGGCAAAAAAAAGAAAATTAAAAATTAAAGGAATCTTAAGAGATAGAAAGATATTATAAAGATTATTATAATTAATTGAAGGATATTTATGAGGAGACTTTATAACAATTCAAAAGATTATTAAAGGAAATATAGGATAGAAGGATTAAAGCGTAATGATATACTTTTTATTTTTGAATTTATTTTTATATTGCATTGCCAGTAGTAATAAATAAATAATGTAATAAAATTCTTCTTATGACGAGAAAATTCAAATGGAAATTGAAAATTAAGTAGAATAGAGAGTTGAATCATAAGAGTTAGCTGAAAATTAGAGATTCAATCAATTTCAAACACCTCCAAAGTAAGATCACTCTAAACTTGAAAATCAAATCAATGATTGTTAAGAATCGCCTCGTTTTACATGTGATGTTAAAAAAAATAGATAGCCAACAGACGAAAAATACAGTATCAATTTAATAAATGGATAGATTCTGATAAAGAAGATGGCACATTATAAAAGAAGGATGATTTTCAAATAAATATGCAGTTATTGAATAATTTAATAGTGTAAGTATAGGAAAGATTACAAAATCAATCTCAGTTATCAATGTGTACAATTGATATGAGTCATTGCAATGAAACATATAGTGAAATTAAACAATAGTTATTTGAAATTGAAAAAGTTTATAGAAGTATTAATTATAAATATTTAAAAAGTTAAAGAGGAAGAACTTTCATAAATAAATATCTAATTGGAAAAGGAATTTAATACTTGTGGGAATCAGAAGAATTTGGATCAAACTTAAAACTCTTAATTGAATAAATCTTTCGAAATATTTAAAAAATATCAATAACTTAAAGAGATTAAGAAAAATAGTCTTATCAAATTTAAGTAAAACTATATTAAAAATTATAATCAATTAAGAGAAGACTTTAATGATTTGAAAAGCACGGTTGAATAGGAGCTTTCTAATAAAAACCCATTTTTTAAAGAATAACAACAAGCGATTTATGAATTCTTTAAGGCTTTTAATTAAAAATATAAATACATAGAGGAAATATCATTTATGGACAATATTATTTCAGAATCGGATGACTAGAAATAAGAATCTCCTAAATTAAAAGAGGATCAAAATTTAGATTCATTTATTTTAGCTTTGATGAAATAATTCAATATAAATTAAGGAGATGTTGAATAAATTAAATTATAGATTGTTGATTGTGTAAAAAACTAAAAAGAACTAATAGAACAATAAAAACTTTAATTAGAAATAATTCAGACTAACTAAAACTTAAGTGCAAATCAATAAATAAACAAATTAAAAACCATAAAAGATGAATTAGAGAATGATATAATTTAGTTAAATTAACAAAAGGAATCTCAGCAAAAAGTTTTGGATTAAACAAGGAAAGAAGCTTAAGAACTTAAATAATAGTTAGAATTGATATAAAAGATTGATTACGTCTTTCTAAACTCTAAGTTATTTTAATTTGAATAGACTTAAATGAAGCAATAATAAAAACTAGTCTAAATTACATAGATAATTTTCTAGCAACTAATGCAATCTACATCCTTTAAGTCATAAATAAAAGAAGTTTTAAACGAATAAACTTAGTATTTGAACTCTTATTGTTGTAAAGCTACTGAAATTATTAACAAATAAAGCTGGTAATAGGATGAAGATCCATTGAAATATTTGAATTACCATCAATAGACAATTTCAAAAATGGTCGATACAATTTGTATAGAATACTCTAAAATGATAAAATAGATATAATAATAAAGAGAAGAATTGATTTCTTAGTTATGATTCTATTTTATTGTATATATTATTATTATATAATCTCATCATTCGGCATTAACATTCTATTGAGTGTCTCCTTATCTTTATTATCTATTTCTATTTCCACCTCTCTACGATTTCTATTATGGCTATGGCTTTTTTTATCTAAAAGAATACAAAAATGATTCACCTTCTTTCAATTGTAATATATTCTTCGTCTGAACTATGTTAGCTTTAATGGTCATTATCCTATTATTACTCAGCGACTTGCTTCTTTTCTTACCACTCTTCCTTTTATTATCTGTCCCTATTATGATATTATCTATTTCCTCTGTAGGGTCTCTGTTTATAATCATCTCCATTATTTTTTCTCTCATAATTGTTGTCATGGTGGTAATTCTTTTTATAACCTTTTCTATGATTATCATGTTGGTGGTGTTATCTATGTCCTTCTCTTTGTTAATGAGTCTTCTCTTAATTCTCTTGATTATCAACCTAAGGTGGTTCTTAAGTTTATTACTAGGGTTGATTGGTATTTGATTCTAAGTTAGTATTTTCCTACTATTAGTTTTATTCTGAATGTTAATGAGGTTATTAATCTTATGTTGTATGTACTTGAGGTTTAGTTTCTTCTTGGAATGATTTTTTTGGACTAGATTTAATTAATACATATTGTTCATGCTATTAGGGCTACTCCTTCTATGTTTCAACAATAGGGTGGGACTAAGGCGACTCTTATTTTAATGGTTAGACTTCTTGAGCTTCTTGTGGTTGTGGATCTGATTGCACTTAATGTTTCAACTAAATTTAAATTTTATATGTTTACATTCAAAGCCTTCCATGGTTGATCCTTCTTTCTCAATTACCCATTCACTCTATTTTAAAGTAGTTTAGCAAGTTCATAAAGTGAATTATGGTCTTGAGAGAGAAGGGCAAGTGTGTCTTGGTTTTCAGATAAATGCTCTAAAATGAGAATGAATGTTTCTTAAGTAAGAAGTGTTCCACTTTGTTCTGCTTCCCTCTTTGCTTATAGCCAATTAGATAGTTGGGCTTCTAATTCCTTTAATTTTTCATTGTTTTCTTCTTTGCTTTGGATCTTTTGAACTTATTCTGGCTTTAATTCTTTGGTCTTAGCTAATTCTTCTAAATCGGCTATGTCCTTTAATTTCTTCTATAGATTTCTAGATTTCTTAGATAGGTAGTTAAAATAGAAATCCTTCTCTTCATTTTTAATCTAATCCCAAATTGACTATTTCTTCTATTGTTTTGCTCCTTTCATAAATATGTATTTTTTAAAAATATTTAAATAAAAACCTCAATAATATGATGGCATACGAATTTGCCATACTTTATTATTATATTGTTCCATTCAATAACTTTCCCAACTATTCCAAATTAAATCCTGCTCAATTCTATTCTGTATTCGTTTTTATACTCAATTTAATAAAAAATGGAAAACCGAGAATAAGATGTTCCAGCAACAGAAAACCCAGTCGCAGAAGTAAGATTGGAAGACAAATTAAACGAAATATAAGAAGTGGGAGAGAAGGGAATAAATGAAATCGAGAAATACTACAAAATCACTGGTTCTCCAATCAACAATGCAATTATTGTTTAGGTCTTGATTTGTGCTCTTGCTTCAGGGAGCACAGCTCTTGTGAATTCATTGGGTCCAGTTCGATGGTTGATCAGTCTAATACCTGTGTTTAACCTATTAAACTTCATAATATATGCTGTATTCTTGGCATTTTTATAGTTCGGCAGTCCATTTTTCAAAAAGGTACATACAAATCATTAACAATGAATAGAAACCTTGGAACTTCTTATTTTTTGGTATTCACTTCATTGGAAAGTTTTCATTCATGGTATTTTATGGAGTAAATTACCCATTAAGTAAGTTTGAAGTGTTTTATTTCCTTTGCGTGTTTGGTTATTTATATGTGTTAGCATTGGTGAGAAATAGAGATGCAGGTTTGAATGGAGTCGATTTTACAATCAAAGGAAACTTTTTCTAATTAGCCGGTCTAGGAATATTTTTGGGTTTCTTCTTGGTATTCTTTCGTTTATGATCATTAGGCATTGCTTACATAAGCAGGTTTTTGGCCAATGATTTGGTAACCAATAGTAGGAGTATTGTACTTCCTATATCTCTTGCTTGAAGTTTAGAGATTTGATGGAAGTCTTGATTATTTGAGAGAAGGGAAGAATGCATTATTTTTGGGAGCTGCTCAAATTGATGCAGATTTGTTGTGGTTCTGTCCTTTGGCTGTATTTCACATAAAGTCAAAAGGTGAGGTTGTTGCAAAGAAACCTGAAGAATTCGCTTAGGAAGCTAAAGAGGAGACTAAGCAATTAATAAATCCTGAATAGAATGCATGATTTTATTAAGAGAATAATACAGATAAAATTTATTTAGTTTAGTATCATCTAAAATTGGATCGAAAGGTAATAATAGTCTAATTCTTTATTTAAATTCAAATTACTGTTTTCATTCATTCTCAGAATTACATCTTTTAATGGGTTTTGAAGTATTAAATAGAAATACATTATATGCATTTGTATCTTTATGAATACTATATTTAAGTGTTTATTAAATATTATAATGAATGTATAAATGAAAAAATTGCTGAAGACAAATAAAGATCTCGGCAACCAATATTTAGACTTTACTTAGTTATTTGAAAAGAAACTCAAACAACCAACTATAAATAATGATAGTAAAAAGGAGTTAATTGAATAATATAGACAACGCAATTTCAAACATGAACCCTAACCATTCTATGAATCATCGGAAATTATTGTCTATGGATCTTTTGAGAATTCGAACATCATGGCTGTTCAACAAGAAGGCAATGAATTGAATATATTATTGAATGGAGACACTAATACAAATGGATGTACACAATGGTTTTATTTTGGCATCTTGGTCAAATAGCCTTAACAATTGACTTTTCGTATTCTCAATAATCGGAGAGGTAAATCCCTATTAAAAGAATACAACCACATTCGAGTATATGATAATAATAAATGGAATTGTGAAACTACTAAGGAATTATTTTATTACCGAACAAACATCAATCATCCCTTCTACCATTCTCAAGATTCTTCTATTGCGAACCTGCAGTAAAATTTTCCATTGCATACCTTACAATTTAATTATAATTTCACTCAAAGTAAAAGCATTGTGTACTTTGCCTTAACTCTACCCTACACAGTCAGTAACCTATACCATTTAGTTTATCATTCAACTTTGAAACACAAGGTATTATGTAGTACTCCTTTGGGATTACCAATATTTAAACTCAAAACTAAACATAAAAGTAAAGTATATTTTCATATTGAAATAATTAGCTTCTGAAGTTGTGATCATTTTGGCACGTCAACACCCAAGCGAGTCAGTAGGTTCACATATCTGCGAAGAGATAATTAAGTTCTTAGATTCTGGTCATTAGGTCCAAAATAAGTATAGATTCATCATATTTCCGATGCTAAACCCAGATGGTGTATTTCTGGGTAATTCTAGGTGCAATTTTAATGGAGTAGATTTAAACAGGTAAAAACAGTTATAACTTCTATTCTTAGAAAGTGGGATATGCCTAATTAGAATACTGAGCCAGAAATTTACAATGTAGTCAAACATATCAAAAAGTACAAAGTAGCCTTTCTTCTTGATTTGCATGGACATTCCAAAAAATTGAACTAGTTCCTATATGGTTGTTCTACTCCAATTAAACATATTTCAGATTACATGAGAGTCAAGCAATTCAGCAGATTATTACAATAAGGATCCGATCTCTTTAATTATTTTGTAATCCAGATGTAAGCTATATTTAGAATTGTTCCTTTAATGTAACACCAGATAGGATGAGTACAGCTAGAGTTGCCATGTGGAAGAAGTTTTCAATTGCTAATTCAATGACTATTGAAACTTCTTTGTACGGGGCATCAAAAAGACCTTTCGAAAAGGAAGAGTTCCACCTATTAGCTTAAAATATCCTTAATGCTCTTCTTCAATATGATGAATATCAAACCGATCCTCGTCTATTTGACGCATAAGAAATTAATCAAGCCATTAAGTTAATCAAAAAAGAGGGGATTGAGGACAAAGAGTCTGGATCTGATTCCGATGCTGAGTAGGATATTATAGTAGTGAGGAATCCAAGATTAAAGGTCACATCCAGAAGAGATTCAACTCCTTTAATGGTCAAAAGCAAACCCAAATAGTAATCTGAAACGCCCATCCAATAACCTACTCTTTTCTTTAAGAATGAGTAGACCTATAGTTACAAGAAGATACCTTCATATTAGATGAAAAGAAAAGTGTAAAATTGTTAATCATACTTAGTTCTCGAATGAATTCTTTTCAGAGTCAAATCATTGATGAACCATTAAGTGCCCAATTACCTACTATTTATAACATTCCCAGTAAGTAATACAAAGGCACTCTTGATCTAATATAGGCAATACAAGTGAAATCGCTTTCTAGATAACAGTGAAAATTATAATTTAGTAATTTATATTCTATATATGTTTATTCACTCTAAACTCTCACCCTACTTTGAAACCATTTCAACTAATAAATTTATTATTAAACTAATTGGTTTAGTCTGTTAAATATAGGCAATCCCATAAATCTCACAATGTTTAATAAACAATTATTGAGTTTCTTATTTATAATATAATTTATCAGTTTTAATTTTATATTAGGATTCTATTGTTAACAATTTTTAATTATTATATATGAATGATTTAAGTGATTGTCAATGATCTTGTATAAACTAGCAATCATTAAATGTTCGATTATTTCATATGTCTTAATTAAGAAATTCGTCTCTATTCATTTAAAGGCAATAATTATTTTGTAATATAATAAAATGCTAAAATGGATTTAAAAATAAGTATGACTATTTTTCATTTGAAAATAGCTTCTAATTTATAAATGATCATAAATCATCTAAATTAAAATTCTGTTCGACAATATCATCTTCCTCAAAAAACCTGAGTTTAATCCTATTACTATTCTACATCTCATCTTCTTAGGTTGCATTTGTCTCTTCATACAAAGTTGTTGCTGGGGTAGCTTAATTCGAAACACTAATTATTTTACTCGATTTTCTCTAAGCTAATGGGGATGAAGGGTTGAATTTTTGATGATGAGATCTGATTTATTTATTATTACATACCTGCATTGACTTGGGGAACGAGTTCCAATAATTTCAGACATAGGCTTGAAGATTTTGTTATTTTTTTTCATCTAAATGTTGTCCTCTAAGAACTTAAGGTATTTCTCGTGTTCCTCCTTGGTCCAATGTCCAACATTTTTTTTAGGGGAAAGAGAATCACATTTTTTGATTTTTTTGGATTTTGGAGATCTAGTACTGGTGAGTTCATTATTAAGACAATCCTTAAAGTTGATTTCCTCTTCCATTTAAACAACCCCTTATTAATATTTATTTAAAAAATAAATGTTTTCCTTAACTTTATTATATAGTTCATTTTCTTAATGAATTCTCCACTCTATTACATGTTTAGTCAATTAGGTTGATAATTGTTTCTTCAGTAGACTCTCTCTCATTTTTTTCAGCATTTAATTCTCCATTTAAATATGCATTCATTTCGTCGAGCATTCTAAACATCTAGGCTTAAGCAATCTCTCTCTACTTTTTCTCAGTTGTCAAGATTTCCTATAATTTCAATATCGAATCACCCAACCTCTTAATAGTTTATTAATTCTATTCTTCTCTAGATTGAATAAATTTGCATCAATACCTCTATCTCCTCTCTTCCTCAACTTCTTCTTATAATTATAAAACTCGATCCCCAATTTCTTAAGCGTTCTTTTCTTCTGTTTCCTCTCTGTATTTCTTTTACCTAGCCAAATCCAATCTTAAACTATAAACTCTATCGTCAGTGTTTTTTACGATCTTTTATTCATAATCTTTTCTATTCACTTTCTCCCCCTGCAATTCCTTACCTAAATAGGCCTCTAGTCCCTTCAAATCCTTGGTTCTCAATTTCTCATCACCACTCTATTTATAATCGAATTAAATATACCTCTCTAATTATTTTTTCATTTTAAGCTCCTTCCTCTACTTTGGATAATTATTCCTTCAGTAACTTAAATTTTGATTCATCATTCTATTGTTATTTAGTAACTTTATCCTCTAGAATTTTGACTTTCTACTCAAATGTTTCCTTCTTAAACTAAAATAAAATGATTGATATAAGTAAATACTGCTTAATCCTCATCAATAGAATGTTATAGGTTAGAGAGCTTTTCAGTTAATTATGAGATCTTAGCTCTACTTGGAGAAAGTGCCCTGTCTCTATCACCCCCATATGAAACAGCAGATTAATTCTTAGGTCCTGGAGAAGAGTACATCAATTTAGAAGCTGACATAGTTTTTGATATTATTTTATGATAAATTTATTTCTGTATATATTGAAAATTAAATTTATGTTTTCTAAGACTAATCAATTATTTATATATTTCAAATCAAGCATAATACAAATTAACTAACTATTGTAAGTACTTACTATACAATTAATATAATATTGAATTTTAATTAATAATAACGAAAAGGCTTTACTAAATTATGTTAGAAAGACGAATAAATCAATGATTATCAAAAGGTTTTAATCTTTGCTTCTTTTTGAGATCATCAATTGCCACAAATGGATTTTAAATTTATTAGAAAGGATTTTAGAGTTACTTTTATAGTGCATCATCAAATTATTTCGTTTCAACACTTAACTATTATTTTATATCATCAGGCAAATTTGTTACTTCATACAAAAAGTTCTTAAGAATTTGAGTACTATCTTGAATTCGATATGGATCATAGTATAGTATGGCTTCATTCATCTGACTTCTCGATTTCAAGCGATATTTATCAACCATAACAGAACTATCTATTATACCATTAGACTTCTATGCATAAATTGGAATACTGTATTTTTGTTGATGATTCGAAGTTGTATGCTAGAAAGATACTTCAATTTCAGAAATTTAATTAGCCTCAGTTATTGAACTAGTCTGTAGACTTATCAAATGAACCTTATTGTACCCAAAAGAAATCAAATTTTTAGAAATTCTGATTTCATATGGGTTAACGTATTAGAATTTTCCACCTTCCTATTCCGATAATTAAATAGGGCATTGTTTGTGTGTTTTAACTATTATTAGTAAATTGTTTATGAAACTCTATTAGAGCTTGGTCGCTTGGTAGCATAATAATGATGTTAATTGATCTACACTTTTAACAATTTAGATGTTTCCATAGTTTGTATTTCCAGGTTTATTTTTTCTCTTTGGAGATTCATTTTAGTTGTTAGAAAGTAACAGAAAGGTTTTCAATTTGAATACTAATTTGTTTTCAAAAATCTCTTTAAAATCATAGGTGTTTTCTTATATTTTAACATCTTAACTGATAATAGTAATAGAGGTCACTTAGTTTTTAAATTGCCTTAGTTTCAAACACAAGTTTGCAACTAAAAGGGCATTTAAAATATTTGAATTCCCTTTCTAAATAGTGATCTGCTCTAACTTTTAAAAAATAATTTATTTGTTTTTTTCATTGAGTGGAATCAATGGGAAAAGCTTATCAGCTTTATTATTATAAGTAATTATACACAACCTATCCTGTTCTGTCAAATAGCTAATTAAATATTTTAAGGCCTATTTGATTTTCTCTAAGGTTTCATCATTTAGAGTCTAATTGATGTCAATTAAGTATATTAAATCAACACCAATTTTTAAGTCAGGCTAGTAAGGAAGATTTTAATGAATTTCAAAAAGCAGACAGTAGTTGTCTTTGTATCCATACTTAACATCAACTGGTTTCTTCAAATCATACTATTATATGATTTATTATGGTGTTTCATCATCTGGAATATTCTGAAGATATTTTTATTAAATGCCAAAGTTGGTTTATGCAAGGTTGATGTAGTGCTTGTTAAAAGAGATCATTAAAAATATAATAAAAGAACCAGAATTGTATTTATATTTTAATTATGGAGGTTACAAAATTAATAGAAATAAAAGATTAATAAATTCCCATTCTAAAATCAAAAGAAAAATTGGTTTATACGTATGAATATATTCTAATTTAATCTAGATACGCATAGTTGATGTGTTATATAAAATATTTTTATAACTTTTTCGAATATTTTATTCTAAATTATAATTCCAAAAATTTTCATTAATTCATATAAAATCAGGTTGATATTTATTGAAAAATCATTTTTCTAGAGTATTTATTTTACTATTTCAATGCTATTGGAGTCAATTACAAATGAGAGCAATATCTTCAAATGCTACGAATAGTTAGTTATTTATATAATTATCTAATAGGAATTTTGATTGGTTTTTAATCCACGTTGATACTTTTGACATATTTACAATATAATGTTATAATCTTATTATATCATTATTCTATTTATTGACCAAACCTTTAAATTTAATAAATTATCTATTTAATAAATAGAAGGAGTCTAAACTTATTAGATATAATAAATAATTGTATATATTCTGTTATTTTGCATCTTCATTTTTTGTATTAGATTATACAATATCAATATATTTGTAATAACAATACGCTTGTCTAGTATTTATAGCTATATAAAATATAAATAACGAGGATATATATTAGATCAAAGAACTAGCCATATATCTAGTAATGTAAAATTATAATAGAAATATCTTGAGAGAATGATTATTAATGAAGCATAGTTAAAAATAGAGAATTCTAATAAATACAAATATGGAAAGCTTATTTAAGCATTTAAATGGTTAGAGATAGTAAAATTACATATATTGATGACAAGAATGAATTAATAGTAGTAGAAGAATTTTAGTTATATGAGAATATGGAATTTAAAGTGAATATACAAATATTTTAATTATTTATGTCATAGGAGTCATAAACAAGTTTGTTGGGAAACTTAAGAAAAGTAATTACTTTGGTAGATCAATTACGTGATATTGGACTGAATGATTACATAAAATTACCTCGAATCGTTGTCCTAGGTATCCAATCTGCAGGAAAGTCTTCACTATTGGAACATATAGTGGGAATTGATTTCTTACCAAGAGGATCTGTAATGTTATGATTTGATAAAATAGGGTGTTGTCACAAGAAGACCATTGGAATTGCGTCTGTCTTACTCGCCTTAAAGTGTGTGTGCCCAACCAACAGCTGAATTCGTAGAAGAAATCAAAGGGAAGAAATATACCAATTTTGATGAAGTCAGAAAGAGCATCGAAGAATTAACTGACAAGGTATGTGGATCAAGCAAAAACATCATTGACAAACCAATCATTTTGGCAGTGACAGGACCTAATTGTCCAGACCTAACCCTTGTTGGTAACGATAAAAGATTCTATGTAATATAGACTTACCTGGAATAACAAGAATACCAATTATGGATTAACCTAAAGATATTGAATAGATCACAACCAATATGGCTAGGAGATATTGCGAAGACCCATCAGCTATCATTTTGTGTGTTGTTGCAGCCAACGCAGACATGACAACATCAGATGCATTATTATTGGCTAAGAAATTGGATCCAGATGGCATCAGAACTGTAGGAGTCTTAACAAAAATAGATATTATGGATCAAGGAACAAATGCAATTAAAATGTTGAAAGGAGAAGAAGTACCACTCAAATATGGTTATGTGGGAGTGAAGTTGAGATCTCAATAAGAAATTAAGGATAATGTTCCCATAGTCCAAGCTGTTCAAAGAGAAAAGAATTTCTTTGCCAATCATCCTGTTTATTCTTCCATTCCTGGAGATATATTTGGTACTTAGGTGTTGACAGGCAAATTAACTAGAATTCTATATCGAAGAATCCGAAGTTTCTTGCCTACTTTAATGTAAGAAATTAATCAAAGGATCTCCAAAGTATAGAATAGGCTTGACATTCTGGGACCTGGATTGCCAATCGAAGATTCTGTAATTCTATTCTATAACATTATTTAGGATAAATTGCATTTTATTTGGTAACTCATCCATGAATTTTCTGTCCGTTTTCGAAATTCTATATCAGGATAATATGAAAAACAAAAGGCTAATATCAAGAGTTTGTAGGTGCCAGCTGGCTCTTCAATTAAATTGCTCTTCAAGGATTTATATGACGATTACAGTCAATTAGATTATTGTGCTTTAAAGAAATTCAAGGATGAGGACATTCTCTAAGTCATTTAAAAATATTAAGCATAATCTATTCCTGGCTTTTTGCCTGTGGATGCATTTTATGCTCTTTTGAATCCAGAATTAAAGAAATTATACGCTCCCGCTTATGACTCTCTTGAATAAGCATTTTAGATCCTAGAATAGTATGCAACTACTATTTTAGAAAGCCAATTGCAATAGTATGAGTCTTTTTTATACTTCATATAGATTGCCTTCAGTTTATAAAATGTTATAAGATTAAATTATGGAAGTGATTCATGAATGTAAAAAGAATGCCCATGATTCTATTACTGATGTTCTTGATGCAGAATAAAACTACATTTTCACCAATGATCTCAACTATTTAAGTGGCAAACCTTTCATCAAATTTGGCAAGGAATCAAAAGCTGATCAACAAAAAGGAAATCCTATGGTTTTAGAGTTAAGAACTAAAATAGAACATTATTTCAAATTAGTAGTCAGAGCTACTAGAGACAACATTCCAAAACTTATAGGTTACTTTTTAGTTAAAGGATGCTAAGTACTAAGATAATTTATATACATAGAATCAAATGTTGAGATAATTGTAATAAAACTTAATGCAAAACTAAACCATTTTGTCCGTCATTTGTGAAGACTAAAATGTAGTTGAAGAGAGAAAGAAGTTAAATAGGGAAATAGAAACATTCAAAAATGCATAAAAGATTATTAAAAGAGATCCTGAGTAAATATCAAAATTTATCAATTAGTCTATCAGAGTATATATTATCAACAACTGAAGAATAAGAAGACTAATAATACATGTAAAAATAAAAATAATAAGCTAATTCTGCACCCACTTAATAGAATAAACCTTAAGTATGATATTTAACTATATTATTAGTAATAAATACCATAGTAGTAATAATAATAACCAAAATAACAACCTTAATAATAATAATCTTAATAGGTCTCTGCAAACACCAATTAAAATAATAAGCCTTTGACAACTAATGCTACCTAAAGAACAGATGTGCCAAAAGAACAAGAATAACTACCTTAAAAACCAAATGACCCTATCGTAAATAGAAATACAACTTAATAGCCAGAATCAATTAGACAACAACCATCCTCAACATAACCATCATAAAGATAGGCTCAACCTCAAACCTAACCTCCATAGTCAAATTAATAACCTTAAAATAATTATCCATTGAATAATAATAAACCAACTGGAGCTGCTCAACCAGTTGCTTAATAACCAGCTCCTCCTCCAGTAATTTATTAGTTTTATATTTTAGGCTCAATAATAACCTCAGCCCTAAGCTTAATAATAACAAGGAGAGAAGAAAAGCTTGTTTGGGTTTATGAAAAAATGATTTATATTAATCATTTTAAATTATCAAAAATATCATGGACTCCTAATAAATAGTTTTGTACTATAATAAGTTTGTTATACTAAAATCTAGTCCTTATTAAGCTGAATATGAAACAAAGTCATTATATTAATTTTATTTATGCCTTGTCTTCAAATTTCTATCTACTTTCTTTTGAGTTTTATTCTTCATTCCATATAGATGATATATTTCTCCTTATTAGCTTTTGTCATTTTGTGATATATTTGTATTATTTAATATTTTAAGTCCTTAATAATTCAGCTTTTAATTAATTCATTTTACCTTAACTCACTTTGAATATATAAATATTTGATTATTTTTGTTAGAATTTAGAATTTCTGGAGAAGGATACTAGTCCATATTTTCATTTTCATGAAATTTGCTATATATTTTAACCTCTCCATACATTTACCAAAAATCACATGTTTAATAATTAATTGAAATTAAGAAACTACAATTATAAGTTGTAAAAATAAATCTAATAATTTTTCGTAACTTAATATAATTTACTTTAGAATCAATAGCCATTCGGGTAACTCTTTATAATCAGAATAGACATCTGATTTAAAAATGAATAAGAAAAGAGTCATGAAATTTGACCTAAGATGACCCAACTTATATTGTGCCTATTGAAATCTCATGATCAAAAAGCATTGTAGAAAAATTGAATTTGCCAATAACTAAAGAGAAGCTAATCTAAAAATCAAAGTGAGTACTCAAGAATGGTTGTATATCATTATTCTTAATATTTTCTATCAAAATTGTTATTAATAGATTATATAATATAAACTTATAACAGCTTAATAAAATATAAGTTAGTGATGATGGGATAATTTGAATTATCTCAATACATTTTAAGATATTTGATGACTTTATATATTTAATATGAAGTGAATATATAATCATTAATTATTTAAATAATGAACAATATCTAAGGGTATTCACTTTCAAAGCCATCAACTAAAACAACATAAGCACCAGGTGGTAACTCATCCATCTCATTTGTATTTTTGAATTAATATTCAGGGATCCGATGAGCCTGCCCCTCAATAAAAACGAGCTGTTAGAGACCCAAATGCTAGTCAATTTACTCTAGGAGGAGACCCTGTTCCTCAAAAAGGATAGCAATAATAGCAACAATAGCAACAATAATAATAATAGGATTAAGGTTTTTCATATTTTTGAATATTTTTTTAGGGGCCCATACATCTGTCAAAGTTAAGAATCCACCTGGAGGTCGTTCATAAATATAATTCGGATGAAATATTAGTTTAACAAATAATTCATTTACAATTAATTGCATCTCACCTATTCTACAAATTACACTCTAGTCACTAAATTATATATCAAGAAGTGATGGATTGTGTTATCAATGATAAATAATGATTGGGTTGAAGTTTTAGATAATAATTTGTCACTAATTCATTCACATACAGACGTCAGATTTATAAAAATATAACATTTAATTCAAACCTTCAAAAATTATAAAAGAAAATTCATAAAATAATGTAATTTTGAAAAATCATAAAATTTGAATGGGGTTGAGTTTTTTAAATTTACTCAATTTAAGGTTATTAACCTCAACTTCTTTTTTATTTAGTATTCTTAAACTCTCTAATGGGATCTCCCCAATTTTATTCATATTTTTTATTATTCTTTATTAAATCGATAATAATTCTTTGTCTGTTTAATACTATTTATCAAAAGTTTCTTTAGCTTTGTCTAATTTTTAAATGAATTATCTAAATTGGTGTTTTATCTTCTCTTAGGGTTCTACTTTCTCAATGATTTGACTTTCTTTCCTAGAGACCGGAATGACAACTTAGCTTAAAAAAGTTCTGTGAGAGTAGATTTTGGATGTGTTTGGAGATAGGTATGGAAGTTTGATAGTGCTTCTGGAGGTTTCAGGATAAAATTGATGAAGTGTTGTTCTTTCTTCACTAATTTCAGATAATTATTAATTGGGTTCTGTTAACTTTTTTATAAATCGTGGTAGTCCTTTTTTTTATTTATTATTAAATAATTGCTTTGTTGTTTTTTCAAGAAGCGTTAGAACCTTTTCTGTTTATTCTTTAAATTATTTAGCTTATCTAGAAATTAATTCATCCATTCTTTCTTTTTCTAGTAGATTTTCTTCTAATTATTTTTGAGGCATTTTAATCATTTAGATCGACCCTTTACAATTTTTTCGTTCTTGCTCATATTTTCGTTATAATGCTATCTATTCTGATTTAGTCCTGATATCAATAAATAACTTGTCTATTCCGTTATAAAATTTGTCATCCTCAGTTTTAAGCTCTTCAACATCTTATTTCGTTTAATTTGGCTATTCTTCCTAAATCAAATATCCTTTAATGTCAGGTGAATGTCTTATAACGGTACTATTTTCAACAATACTCTTGCTCTTTTATATGATCTCAGCGTAATCAAATATATCATCATTATCGCTATCAGAATCAATTTTCTTTAATGTTTTCAATTTCTTTTTTTTTTCAACTCTAGCTAACTTCTAATTGCTAAGATGCCTCAGAAACTATTTAATATCAAGGAAGGTGTCAATATTACTAAAATCCTTGAATCTCTTATCGAATTACTGCTCCTTTGAAACTTTGTGGATCCTCATTTTCTTTCTCTCTTATTGTAGAACTTTAGTCACATTTTAATTGAATAATCTGTTTTCTTTATAAAATCATTTTATTTACTTTCCATCTCATCAGGTTCGCCAAGTGGGGTGTTTGGAGAAGAGTCTTTTTACCTTCTTTTTTTGGCTAATTAATCTTTAACAAATTAATAGAAGTCTTATTCGAAGTTGTTCATTATAATTAATTAAAATGGGTGATATTTAGTCATTAAAAGTAGCCTTTATTGAATTCATAGAAAAATTACTGCCATCGATCTCAGATCCAATGTCAATCACTTAATAAAAATGCTAATTGCTCATAAAACTTCTTAAAGATCAAGGTAAGACAATTTCGGATGTTTGTTTATATATTTAAAATCTCAAGATAGTACATCTGAAACCTTCTAATCAGAATGTTTAGGAAGAGGACAAAGTAAAATCTCCAACCAAAATTAAATAACTCGATCATGAGCTTTTCTAACCAGAATCTTATTTTAAGCTTAGTAAGAAATTCTTCTATATTAAAACTAGATCTTCCAAATAAGGATTTAATAATAAAGAAATCCAGTCTCAAGAATGGTGAATTAAGAGAAAAAAATAATAATGTCGAACAAAATGAAAGACAAGCAGAGGACAGCTCGACACCTCTTAAATTTGGGATTGATAAATTGAAAAGTATTCATCTAATCTTATTTTAAGAAACGCCAAAAATGACCTCGACCTTTAATATGTTCTTCCAATAAGTCAAAGGGTTTTCGATAGTTTCCAAAGAATATATTATTGATAATTTACAACAATCAATGAAAGAATTCACGAGACACACTAAGATCATGGGATGCATAGAACAAAGGTCCTTTGAGGTCAATAGTGGCGAAATCTCTGAAGTCGATAAAAAGCTACATCATCAAAACTACAATTTTACAAGTTACTCCAAATAAGTTGAAAGATAAAAATCTTTTAAAAAAATGAGTATTTTTGAACAAAAAAAAGTCCCAGAATCAAGTACTCAGAATTAAAACAATGAACAATTATAACCTTCATAACAAATAGCAACAATTCCTTATGGATCCTCCAATTAAAAAGAGTTGGATTCTACAAATATTGAATCTCAATCAGGATAAGTTGCTCGCACATATTTACCCTCTAAACCATCATTATATTCCTATCGAGCTTAATAAAGAAGAGCTGAATAACAAGGGTCTTAAAATTAGAGAAATATTTCTCAATAAGAATCAAATAACGAATAATCTAGCAATACAAATTAATAAAATAATGTATTAGAAAATTAATAGCATGATACCAAACTCAAAGATGCCCCACTCTCATTAGAATAATCATAAAATTAAACCTCAGAAATTATCCAAATAGGCAGTTTCCCATCTCCCAAATAGACATCCAACTAAAAATCTGATAACGACACAGGTTCTATTGATAATCAAATAAAATCTCTACCGGTTTCACCTATACTGACCAACTCAAAGTTCACTATTGAAGCTACTTAATCTTAAAACCATTCTCGAGAATAGTCAATCAATGAAGAAGTCAAAGTTGATCAAAAGTATGAAGTTCCATAAAGAAACACTTACACCAGATTTAATTACACTCAATAAAGATTATAATAAATCAGAGGAAATCTGATTTAAAATAATTATAGAGGGTCAATTAATAATAATGGGGATGATAAACCAACAGATATTAAAATAGATATTAAATAATTGGATTAAAATTTTTGATTATAAATATTTCTTTTCAAATTCATTATTTAGTAAAACTTTTTGAAAATTATTTTTGCTTACCTTCTTCAATATTAACTTATTTAATAAGCAGTTATACATTATGATAATTCTATGCATAATCATCATTTTGAATATTCAAGCTTGCCATTATTGGCGTGTATTTGTTTACAGAAACAGAATTAGTTCTTGACTATCTACTATAATTAGAATTTTGGTTATGATATACTAATAAATCCTTACTCTTTTTTAGAGCCGAATCTATGTAAGGATCATAGTAGCTGTAATTAGGTAATTAAGGTTTTTGAGTTGGTTCAGGTCTTTAGCTTGATTAAGCTCTTTAAGAATTCTAACGTGAAGATGATTAAGGTCGATTAATATGAGGTCTTGGTTCAGGAGTGAGAGAGAATTATTAAACGATAGGTTTAGTTCTAACAAGATTAGCTACTTTTATTGTTTAAGGAGTGGAGTTGGAATTGGAATTAAAAGGTTTTGCTTTTTGACTATTTAAATCTGGACTCCTTTCAGTTTTTTAATCTGATTTTGAGATTGTATTTATAGTATCCAATAACACTGGCTATTGTGAACACTTAACATAAAAGTGATCAGCAATAGTAGTACTTTCAAAAGTATTTATCATGTTTAACACCTAAGCATAAGTGGGTCTTTGAAAAGGACTATATGAAAGGAATTAAATGACAATCTATTCAAAAGCCTAGGAATAGTTATATCTAGATATATCATTGTATGAATTACTTTTAAATATATTATCTTAATTTGGTTATAGCCAATCCATATTAGAAAATGCATTTCTCAACATCATAAAATTATTTAACTTCTAAACCAGATACACATACCACACAAATAATTCCTAATACAAAAATATTTATCTTCTCTAAATCAAGATTATACTAGATCATACTTAATAATTTACTTTGTTTTGAGAATCCTTCAATTCTTGTAATTCTTCTGATGACAAATATTCCAATTCCCTCAGACCTAATTTCACTTTTCTAAATGATGATATATTTTATGGAGTACAACTCAATTCTAATAATTTTATATCTCCACCATCTGTTATGCGTATATTTTATGGGTGTAAATCTATATACTTCTATTTATTATTTTATAAATCAATCAATGTTTCACAAACAGTTTTGATTAGATACCATAATTCTCCTTCAAAATAACTAAATTTATGCATTTATATTACGTTGTCCTTAATTTCCTTCTAATCTCCATATCCTTTAAGAGGTTTTTCTGTATGTATTGAATACCGATATGAACAATATTTAGAGTTCCGCAAAAATCTTTTACACTTGATTAGGAGCAATCATAAATTTATGTTATATTGGGGTGCTTAAGTCTTTGACTACGGATTTAATTTCAAGATTACTTTATCTATTAGCATAAAAGTTCAGGTTTATTAGATTGCAATTTAATAACTGCCATAAGTTCTGAGGGATCCCTATTAGACTAGTAGACAACGATATCTCCATAGGCAGGATCAATTTTATTTACGATAAACTTGTAGTTATTGAGAAGTTGATTTTATTTTTAGTTGTTGGAACCCATTTAATTATATTTAATTAATATTCTATGCTAACTTATACAGATTTTTGTCTTAAACTAGCTAAAATAATTAAAGATGAGTAAATTGAATCACTAACTTTGAAAACTCTAGTAGATGAAACAATTGACTTATTAGACAGATAGTAGCCTCCAGTTGACACATATGTATTTATTGTTTTTTATAAAAGGAAGAAGTAATTGCCAAGGAATTATTGTTTTACAGAACTGAATGTTAGTATCTCAATAAACTAAGACTCTCACTCTAAAATTAAGTGAAGGTAATTAGAATAAATAAATAGCTATTGCAAAGATAACTGTAAGAGGAAAAAGAAACCAATACGGAATTATCAAATGTTCTTAAAACGCAAAAACAAGAGTAGTTATTGAATAAGACAAAAACAGAAGGGTTAAATAATATAGCATAAAAAAATGAACCTTAAAACGTAAGTGCTCGATAGCAGAAAAACTGTAATTAAATATTTTAAATTCATTTTTATTTAGAATTTAATATTACCTAGAGATAAGCCTTATAGCCATAAACGACTAAATAGATGTAACTAGCTCCTCATCTTACCATAGAGATTAAAAATATAAAAACTCCATTGTTAGAGCATTAAGATCCTAAAAATCTCAAAGAATTATTCCAATAGTGCGTATAATAGATTTCTAGAGAAAATCAGATGAGAGGAAATCATATTAAAAAAAATAAACAAATGTGCAGTAGAGATTTTTCAGGCCAATTTCATATCAGTGAAGATTAGAAAGATGATAATTTTTCAAAACTCGATATCAAAACCCTGACAGAAAAGTATAAAAATACAAACACAATGATAATAGATTTTTCTTAAATCCGCAATTTTTTAAGATGATAGAAGCCTAATTATTTGATGTAAAGTGTTGCAACAATAAGGCTTGCCTTTACAATTTTAAATAATCCTAATTATCATCAGAAGCATAACAAATCTAAAATGAAAGTAAAATTCTTTAAATTCCTAAAAAAATACCATAGTTTCGATCAGATCACAGAAGTAGAAGTGTAGGCAGACAAGATGGTATTATACAATTATCATTTTTAGATCTAAAACTTTAATATTAATATTTATTCGCAGATGTATTGCGTTTAGAAAGAGAGTTGTGCGCAACACCTAAATAGAATAAAAATAGATAAATTGAATTAAAAAGTTAATTGAAAGATATTCGTGAAAAACTATATCAATTATAGTGTAAGATTTTAAATTGAATTTATATCTAAATCTATTCCATAAATTAATCTACCAAATGAATTATATCTTCCTGAGTCTCCCCATATGATTTCGTGATTGTAGTTTTACTTTTTTTATTTAAATTGTGTTAACTCATAAACAAGAATATCACTTTGAAATAATAGTATGTAAAATTCTAAACAGTTAAGTAATTTTAGCAATTTAAAATAATTCTCTAATTCTATATCGAATTATTAATAAATAATAAAATCAAATCTGACAAAGTTCATTCAAATTTTTAGAAATATATTATTCTAAATATTTGATTACTTATCCTCGAGTACAATTAATCTTAGATCTACACATTCTAGTCTCTAATAGTTCATTTTAAAAATATAAATTCACATACTCTCCTTGTATGATGAAGCTTAATTTTGAGGCAAAAGGAGGAATAAGTGGTTCTTCGACTAGAACAGATAGCATTGCAACCTAATTTGAATCATGTCCAAAATATAAACTAATGGTATGGTCCCCTTAAATTTAATTAATTATCCATTGGAATATTTCTGTTAATGCAGAAAAATGTTGGATAGACCTTGAATTATCCATTTTATAAAATTTATAGATAAAAATCTAAAATATAAAATCGAATTACTTCATCCAAATATTTTTAAGCATTCAATGAAAGAACAGGTTTATCAAATCCCTGATATCTATTACATTTGAAACCACCATAAAATGTTTTCATTTTATTTATGGTAATAGTTCCTTCATCTAAAGAAGAATTAGACAGTTTCATTTGTTAAAACACTTCTTAAAATTCTGGTCTTTGTTTAAACTCTTCGTTCTTATTCAAATATTCTTGGTTATTCAATATTTCTTCTTTAATGTAATCTAATTTAGGACATTATGATGAACTATGACCATGAAACAAAAAGTCACGTTCCATTTTAAAAGTTTAGAAATCAAAAATTAATGGATTTGTAAAATCTGATTACATAATTTCATTTAAAATATTTTCATTTTAAGAATACTTTGAATAATAGTCTTAAAAGTAATTTCTTAAAATTCCTTAGAAATTATAAGGGCATAGTCCTTTAACAAATCCTATAAATGAATGCATAACTCTTGGTATAACAGATGAAACAAAATTTAGTTTTTAATATATGCAATTTCCCTCAGCATCATAAAAATAATTTGTCTGTGATGATTAACCTAAGTCATGAAGTTATTGAAATCCTTTTTCGGTTAGATATCCAGGTTTATAATTTTTCCATAAAATTTAATCTAAAGGATTATACTTATTAGGAGATCTGGCACCATGTCTTATAAATGATATTTCCTTCTGCTAATCTTCAAAAGTAATAGCCTTAAAGTTTATAAAATAGAGTGCGCTAATAATAATAATTTACAGAATAGCCCAAGTAAATTAAGATGAAAACATTATTATGTTTAAAATATTTATATATTTATTTCTCATGGGTATAACCTAGCTGGTGTTCCCTCTTTAATGACTTCAGAGCTTTCAATTACTCTTGATCCTCTTGTTCTTGATTGACTTGATGAAACAGTTGTGATTGTTGGTCCTACAACTTTCTTTTCAACTTTTACTTCCTTAACTTCTTTTACTCCTCCATTTTTAATAGAATCAATCTCAGCTTACACCATAATTAATTATTCTTAGGTATTGAAATAGTCTGTATTTAATTTCTTAAATCTACTTTTCCACACTTCTACTTCCTTTGAAAATAATATGTAAGAATACAGATCTTAATTTCGTTGTTTTTTCTTCAATCTCATAAGTAACAGAACTTTCGATTTCATGACATCTTTTTTCCCAATCTATAATTTCTTACTCCTTTTAATTCAACAATCCAGTGATTCTTTCAATTTCCAGTCTTACATTATATAATTGGTCCTAATTTCATTGATAATTCTTACTTCAATTATTTTTATCCTAGACTGCAATCCTTATTAAGATTGATCATTTCCACTTCGTAATTCAATAAACTCCTGCTCTTTCTATCGTAATTAATTTTATGCCTATTATAATTATAATCTTAGCTTTTATGCTTCAAGCTCAAGTTATTCAACCTATATTTTATATCGAACTTATAAGTACCCTTGTGTTATCTATCACTTCTACTCTCTCTTTGACTGTCTTGACTTCAGGCTCTCTTGCCAATAATTCTGCTACTCTCTATCTTAAAAACAATAATTCTTCCTTGTATGATTCACCATCTTCGCATTCACATTCCTTCTTTTATTATTAAGGGTAAGGAACAGGAACATACATAGGCATCATATAAGGTTATTAAGGAGGTGGTTGGCATTTTGGTCTGCATTCATTATTGTCAATCATAATTTAATAGCATCCATATTAAGAGTTTGGAAATTAAGCAGATACAAAGGAGGTTGACATATAATTTCTTTTCCTATTATATCTAATTGGAGCTTATTCAACTTCCACATTGGTTTTAATTACCTATGATTCTACTACTGTTGTGGTTTTCATATTTTATTTCAAATAAATTATATTTTAATATTAATTATCTCTTACATCTATAATATATATCATTCATATATTCCCAATACGCCCAGGTATTCGGAAGTTAATAGTACCTTTTTATTTTCATAGTTAACCAAATACATCATTTGACCCTCCTGTCCCATATCAGTCTCATCAAAATTGCCTAATAATAGTTAAATTATAGATTACCTTCAATTGTATTGATAGCTGGATCAGTGAAATAATTACCAACTCCTTACACATCACTAACCATATAATTAAACTAGCTGATAAAATATGTAAAATAAGTAAAGGATTATGCAAACTTATTTAATTCTGCAGTGTGATCTTCATTTATAAATCCATAATTATTATTATATTTAACAAATTCTCCCTTAAAGAATCTTTCTGCAATCCAAAATGAATCTTAATATATCATAAATAAAATACTTTTCGATTCTTCGAGAATTAAGAAATCACTATATATAACAGGTGGTATCTTTATATTGATTTATTTTTCGCCTGCCTTCTCTTATAACTCACTAACAAATCGTTTCATAAGTTTTTAACAGATCAAATGAGATTTGCATTCCTTCAATGCGTCATCTATAGATTTGTAGGGTAAGCTTCCAATAGGTGTTTTGATAACGTATAACTCATCAGATTTTACATTTGTTTTTTTCATTAAAAATACATCTTTCATCATACCAAATGCAAATGGTTTTTCAGTTCTTATACAATCCCAACTTCCTTCATTTGTCTTTTAAAAATCTTAAGGACATCTAATTTTTTCAATTGTTTCAATATTTTTTTCGAATTCCTCATCCTTTAACTCTACTCTCCACACTTAGAATTTAGTATTAACAACTTTCACATTTTCCTATGTTTCAAAGTTATAAAAATTCCCCTATTTACATAAAGCTTCCATAGCTCCTTCCTTTTCTCTTGGAATTTCTTATTAAATTGCTGGTTATTTAGATTTTGTTTAGTTTTTATTTGTTTAGGTTGCATTTTATGATGCCTCTCCTATATATTTTGTCATTGTGGCTGCCATTTCATTTTAGTTCATTTTTTATAAATCTTAGAATAAAAACAAATCTAATCTCTTCTTAGATTCGTATATTTTCTTTATTTCCTCATACATAACTGTAGTATGTTTTGTAAAATTAAGGGCGATTAAAACGATACCATTCTATATCAATTCTTCTATAGCATCCTAAATATCTTCTTCAGGATGATTATCTCCACAACCTCCATTATATTTCTTTCCGTGACATGGAGCATCACATATTATAATTGCAATTTTAAATTTGCTTGGCCACTATAATTTGCAAACCTATTTAATTGCTCCTCTTATATCTTCTGCTGCATCGCCACCTCCAGAGCATTTAATCCCATCAAACCATTTTTCAAGTGCTTACTAATCCTTTGAAAATGGAAATTCATGATATTTTCCTAAACTTCTTAATTCATCCTTATCTTAGTAACAAACCGATGCCCAATTAGTTTCTCTATTTGTGGCTTATTTTATGATTTTTAAAGATCCTTAGACAGATCTTTTAGTTTAGTCCTTATATGAGTCCATTGACCTAAAATAAAATAACATAAATACCCTGTAACATCGACGATAAAGCAGACATCTAACTAACCATATACTTTTTTAGCTTGTTGCATATTTTAAGCTCCCATTTATATTAAATTTCCTTTTTTTATCTCCAATTATATTAGTGCGTCTTGTTTTTTCTTTTTGTCTTTCTCCAATTTTTCTTTTCTTTCCTTTTCTTTTTATTCGTTTTCTTATTTCATTTTTTCTTGTTCAGTTTGTTTTTATTAATTAAGCCATTATTTTTGTTATTCAAATTACTAAAATTGTTGATTCTACTCTAGTTTAATTTGTTTTCCGTTTGAGGATTCTTTAATCAAATTCTTCAGAAAGTCTAATTCATTTTTAATCAATAAAATTTCTTGATTTATTGAAGATATCTCAAGGTCTTTTTCCTTTAGATTATCCTGCAATCGCTGTTTGTCAACATTAACTTATTTTAACAAATCTAAAGAATTTTCCTTTTCGATTTCTAACTATCTTATTTTATCATCCTTTTATTTGATTACTTTTTATAATTTAGCGATTTCATCTCTTGATTCCATAAAATATTTATGCTCCTGATCCACTTGCTTAACTTATTTGTCTAGATCCGATTGAATCAACCTTAATTCATCTTCTATGGAATTTTTTTAATTTATTAGATCATCTTTTTATTTTTTATGGTCATCCTTAAGCTTCTTGATTTGATTTTCATATTATGAAGCCAGTGTTTAATCAAATGTTTAAGTAGACCCACCAACATTATTTTAAGTCTTTCGTATCAGCGACTAATATTAAATTTAGAGAGTATCATATTCTCCCTACAAATCACTTAATTTTTACTCAACACTAGATTTCTCTTTTGAAATTTTATCAATTTATGCTTGTTTTTGAGTAATATCAGTTTTTTGAGAGTTGACTTTTAGATTAGAATCATATAGTTCCTCTTCTAGGTCTTGATATCTTCTTTTTAGATTCTCAAACTATGTTTGTGCTATTTTTTTTTCCTTGGCTATTTTCGTGTTAAATTCTTCTTCTTATTCTATTAATTTTTATTCTAACTCATTATTTTTTTATTAAAGTTATTTTTCTTTATTGGATGTAGTAGCTAATGTTGTTGGTTTTAGGCCTTGGAAATTTGGCATAATTGGCATAGTTGGCATGTTTGGTATGGTTGGCATAGCGAATGGAAATTGTTGGCTTCCAGGTGTTCCAGTGTTTTGTGCTTAAGGATTATACATATTAGTAGGAGGCATTGCGCCACCATAATCTATAATTTATTGTAGAAATTTACTAGATGGCCATGTTGGCATATTATAACCTGGGGGATAACCAGAGGGTGGTTAATTACTACTTGTAGTACCCTAATTCTATTAAAGCTATCCATCAACTAATAAAAGATTATTTCTTAGTTTTACCTTGTGCACTAGGTTGATTTTGCTAAAAGTATGGATAAGCTATTTAATTAATATTAATAAATACATTATTGACCATTATTGTTTGGATTCATGAAATCTTAATTATTGTTGTGATAATAATTAATAATTTAATTAATATTGTATTTATCTATGGAGATATAAATACTTGAAAAAATTTAATAGAATTATGTTAAAGTTTCGATTATCAATCATTAAGATTAATTAGAATATAATATAAAAATTATGTATTTCTAATAACCATTTTTATTTAATTTAAAGCGTTCTTAATACGCAGATTTCATTAAAAGAATTATTTATGATAATCTTAAAATATAAAATGTTAAATAGAAGTTTTTATATATATTCTATAGATTTAAAGAGCAAATATAATATTAATGAATTAACCAAAAACAGATTTATTATCTGTCACGCCAAGAATTTTATCTAGTCGTAATAGTTAACCAAGTAATCAATTATTTTTATTTTTAGATGAATAGTTATTAGATGAAGCTGGCAGAAAACCTTCCATTCTTTTCACTAAATTAGATAAAATTCAGATTTCAAATGAACCTAGTGATAGTGTTCAATCGAATGAATCAGACGAAATTCCAATAAAGTTCACTCAAGGATTCAAAAATAAGGTTTGGAAAGAAAGAGCATTGAATGTTATAGTGTTAGTTGCGAGATTTGTTACATATTTATTGACAAACTCAGACAAATTTAAATTGAGATATTTGGAATTAAGATAATTCAAAGTTATTGGTGATCAAGCAGCAGACTATAACTATTATTTGAACAAGCGATTGATTCGAGCGAAAACAAAGAAGCAATTTTGCGTAAATATGGCTAAGTAATTATGAGTTTCACCTCAAGATGTTTACCAAGAAGATAATAAACCTTTTGAGAAGACTTGGTATAAGAGTGTCGCCTATAACACCAGATCATACTTTAAAATTGCTTTGGGATCTATTTGTTTTTACCATCCTAATCATCAATATTATTTATATTCCATTAAAAATATCATTTGAAATACAAGGATCTAACAGTGGAATCGATTTTTTCTTGGAAACCTTGCCTTAATATGTATTTATATGCGAAATTTTATTGAATTTTAATGTTGCATATTATAGTCGTGGAGTCTTAGTGTTAAACTAAGTTTAAATAGTGAAACACTATTTGAGAGGGAAATTTATTACTGATTTCATAGTTCTAATTCCTTTTATGATTGGAAGATCGAATGTTCCCTATATTGAATTCGTATTATTATTCAGAATTTCAAGAGTAAATCAATTAAATTAAATAGATTATGTTCATCTTTGAAAATTTAGTGGAAACCTTGAATCTGAGAGTAAATTTTGCAGCTGTGATAGATTTAGTCTCTTTGTTAGCCACATTTCTCTTTGCATCTCACTTAATTGCATGCGTTTGGCATTTTATAGCTGTTCAGGAACATTTATTTTCGGACTCCATTTTTACTTGGGTTGATAAAGCTGAATTAGAAACCGATTGGATCAGTAGATATATAACGTCTTTTTATTGGGCATGTATTACAACACTTACTATTGGTTATGGTGATATTACTCCGGTAATACAATGTTATATTTGTAGGTTACGCAAATTGAGAAGTTGTTTGTTATCTTTGTAACTCTATTGAGTTCAATAATCTTTGGTTATACAATATCTAGTATAGGAGGAATATTTGCTTAGATGTCAGAAAACAAGAACTATTTGAGAGACAAAATGACTATGATAGATTCTTTTATTAAAAGAAGAGGACTCAATAAAGATCTCTAAGTTAAAGTTAAGAAATTTTTTGAATATTACCTAAAAACTTAAAAGAACACAGATTCTGAATGTGAAAAGTTGATGGAACATTTATCAGGCACTTTAATCAGGGAAGTAAAAATAGATTTCTATAAAACTCTCTTTGATTAATCGAAATTGTTTAGATAGAATTTCTCAGGAGAATTTATTTCAAATTTATGTTTGTTAGTTAAAGAGCAGAGTTTTGTACCAGAGGAAGTGATTTTTTAGGAAGGACAACAAGTAGATAAAATATATTTTATATTAAAAGGCGAGGTGGAAGCCTATTTAAGGAATAATAAATTAATCAAGATTTATAAAAGGAAGTAAGCCATAGATGAGAAGGGGTTTATTTCATAAAATTGTGCTTAATTTACATCAAGAGCTGTGAAATTCTCTAAATTAGCTTACGTTACTTTTGACGATGTTCTAAGTTTATTGAAGTAAAACAAAGAAGATTTAGAAAAATATTATAGAATTAAACACTAAATCTAGTTTGGGGGAAGAATCAAATTTAGTGGATGTGAACTTTGCTTTCAAAATCATAGTTTTACAAAATGCCCCTTTGTATTCTACACTCCAAACAGCATAACACTCTTCAAAAAGAAGGCAAACAATGATATTTAGAAGAGACTATTTCTGTAGCGGCAGAATGCACAAAAACTATAAGCAAACAAAGCGTTATTAAATTTAAGATATCTTTAACGGAATATTCTAGAATATGGTAATTAGAACTACTTGTATTCTGACTTACTTCCTGATAGTGAATTTTTTACAGTTAATAGAGTTGATGAAATGAACTTTGCTGGGGATGGTCAATCCATATCAGACGATCAAGAATCCATAAATTCTCCTGATAATTCTGGAACTCAATTAAAACATTAGTTGTCATCTCAATCTCAAAAGGGGAATAATATGAAGCACTCAGTCTAAAAAGTTGCGAATAAAATTTAGCAAGAACCTGGCATATCTCAGATGCGAATCAAGATAACAAGAGGGACAAAGAAGTAAACCATTAATGCCTCCAGTTAGAAAATTGTTAATGAATTCGAAGATTTAAAGGATACCAATTAAGATAGTAAGTTAAATATTAGCAGATAAAATAGCAAATAGGTGCAAGAAACACCTCCGCCTTCTACTCGACTTATAAGGCTTGAGCCATCATAAATTAAACTAATTGAATTAGATATAGTAAGAGAGATTTTTGATAAGCATGAATATTCAATAGATTCTCAATAAGAGTTTGAATTCTATGATGCGCAGTTTAATTTGAGCAATATTATTAAAGATTTGTTTACAATTAAAAGGAAAAAAATGTTGTTCTAAATTAATAGAAAACGCCAAAAAAAACACTTATATTGCATCCCAAATAAAAAAGGGGCAAGTCAAAATAATATTAATAGCAGCATATATAATGTGGATAATTGAAGAACAGAAAAATGATATATATGCTTAAGTTAAAATTGTATAAATAAAATAAATTATTAATTAAGCAAATAATTTGAGACATCTAATACAAATTTTATAATTCACTTTAAAAAATATTTTAATGATTTTTTTATATATAAATATATTTTGAGTACACAATTAAATGAATAGAAAATATGATTAAGGAAGTTATTTTAGAGAATTTTAAATCTTATTATGGGGAACATCGCATTATTTGCGGATCACATTTCAACTCCATAATAGGTCCTAATGGGTCTGGCAAGTCTAATTTTATAGATGCGATATAATTTGTTTTTGGAAAAAGAGCTACTTCTATGAGGTGTAAAACTGTCTCTTAATTGATTTCAGCAGGAATGACAGAATGCAGAGTTGAAGTTGTCTTTGAGGGATTCGTCTTAAAAAGAACAATAAGAGGGAATACAACTGAAGTCTACATAGATAATGAACCAGTTAAGTAAGCAAAGTTACATTAATATTTGAAATCTAAGAATATAGATGCCACTAATAAATTCATAATTTTGCAAGGGGAAGTGGAATCAATCAGCATGATGAAACCAAAATCTGGGAATTTCGAATAGCCAGGCCTATTGGAATATATTGAAGAAGAGTATTAGAAGGAGCAGATGGAGGAATCTTTTAAAAAGAAGCAGATAGCTTAGAGCAGATATTTTGAATCTTAGGAAAAGGCAAATATTGCTTAGCACACTTTAAATGAAATAAAGGGTATGGTAGATTTGGCCGAATTTGTTAAGAGTGTCTACAGCAGAATTTTTAGGGTTTAACTTTGTTAGATTGAAATCCTCAAAAAGGAGTAGATTTTATGCTAGTTGGAGGATGAAATAATGAATGAAAATGCTGAAATTCTATTGCAAACTGAATGCAGATAGAGATAAATGGATGATTTGAAAATTTTAAGGGGAGAAAAAGAAAGGATTGATTAAGAAATAAAGGACAATGAAAATTAATAGAAGATTATTAATCTAGAAATAAATTCAATAAATAATAAGTATGATTAGAATGAAGAGTTAGAATGTTAATTGAATATCAATAAATTATAGAAATAGATTGATGATTTAATTAAGGAAAAGGAGCTTTTGGAGTAGGATTAAAGAAAATTTGAATAGATGATACCAGAAAAATAAAATAAGGTAGATAAAATAGAAAAGGAAAAAAATATTGCAGAAACTCATTACAATAAATTGAAAACAGACCTCAAAGTTGAATCAAGATTTCTAATGAAATAGAAGGAGGAATTAGAGTAGAAACTTAAGCCATTCAATAAATAAATTCATGATTTATAAGTTTAATTAGAGAAATTATAATTAGAAAAAGAAAGAACTAGTAAGAGTCCTGATGAATTTTTAAATTAACTTGATTAATTTGATAAAAAAACAGCTTAATTATAGATTTAAATAGAACAAATCAATAGCTACATAGAGAGACAATTAGATTTGTAAAGTTTGATAAGAGACTCAAAGGAGAAGACATTAAAAGAGTTAAGTGAGAAAAAGGCAGAAGAGAAAAGGTTAACTAATGAGATTGCTTAAAAATAAGAAAGGTTGGATTAAAACAACGAAGATAGAAAAGAGAAAAATTAATATTCAACAGTACTAAGAGCATTAATAAGAGCATCTTAAGCAGGCCAATTAAAAATTTGTGGGAGATTGGGAGATTTGGGAACAATTGATCCTAAATATGAATGTGCTATAACAACAGCTTGTCCTGGATTGGATGGTATAGTTGTGGAGAATGATTAAGATGCCGTAGATTGTATTAACTTTTTAAAGTAGAATTAAATTGGCAGAGCCTTATTCATACCCATAAACAAGGTTCCTGATAATGTTATTTAATTTATGGAAAGACC